GGGACAGAGACCCAGTGGGGAGAAGAGGCTGTTCCTGGGGAGCTGGCATTTGGTCCCGAGATTGGATCCGGGCTTCTCCGACATGGGGGGAGGGCCTCCCTACGCAGGGAATGGTGTATAAACAAAGCTGCACCGCCTCCACGCTGAGGGGCGATGGCCTGTCCCCACCCACATCCCAGGCCTCCTTTTCTCATCTGGACAGTGGCCTGGAGGCTGAACCTTTCCTTCCGAGACCGAGAATAGGCTGCCCTGGGCTCAGGGTCCCAGAAGCTTAGGTGGGGCAGGTAGGCCTGGCCCAGACCCCACCAGCTGTGTCAAGGGAGGCACCTGACTTGTGACCCCAGGCAGTTGCCAAGCCACAGGCCTGACCACCTCCCCGCCCCCAGTCAGCCCTGCTCAGCCCTTACCTGGGGTTGGGGCTGGATCTAGAAGAGGAACGAGCAGAGGGGCAGGGAGGTGAGAGGAAGGAAGGTAAGAACAAGGCTTATGAGTGTCTACAGGTGTGGCAGGCACCAATCACATCCCTTTCCTGGTTTCAGCTGATTAAGTGCTCTCAACAGTTCTGTGAGGGAGGAAGCCCCCGAGGTTCTAGATGAGGAAGCTAAGACAGGTGGGCGCAGGCAAGGGGGCTGAGCTGACTGCACTGAGAAGGGTCAGGCACCTCCGGCCTCTGCCCATGCCATGCCCAGCACAGGCAGCTCAAGCTGGTCTGAAGCCTGGGTTCTGGTCCCTGCCCTGCCACCCATGGCTGACTTTCACAGCCTGAGACCCAGTGGCCTCTTCTGCAGAACGAAGGCCTCACACGGGGAAGCATTAGGAAGGTGTTAATTCACATCCCTAGTCCGTCCGTTGCCTTTAGAAGCTGTGCGGCCTGGAGCAAGATGCTTAAGCTCTCTGTCTCGGTTTCCTCACCTGTAAAAACGTGGGTAATCCTAGTACCTGCCTCAGAGGGTCGTTTCGAAGATGAGATGAATTAGCACTTGTAAAGCCCTTAGACCAGACCGCAGCCAGGCAGACAGGAAGTGCCATGTGGGACTCAGCTGTCGTTAGAATTCTTGCTAACTGCTGTTTGAGCTCTGCCTCTCTGTCACCCTGGGCAGGTCCCTGCCCTTCCTCAGTCTCCACTTCTGTCTTTGAAAGGGAACCGAGTCAGCAGGCAGTAAGCAGCCATGCCTGCCCCACCGCACACCCACAGCTCACAGTCTAGGGAAGCACAGAGCCGAGTGGAGACCACAGCCACCCGGAGTTCGCTGTGCTGTGAAGGGGACACCTGGGAGCGGTGGGAGCCCAGAAGAGGCATCTGACGCAGGGTAGGTGCCCCTGGAGGGAGGGGGGCAGTTCAAGCTGGGCTGTAATGGGTGAGCAGTTCAACAGTAGAGCGGGCAAGGGGTGGGGGGGGGGCCCAGGCAAGCAGGGGTTCTCAGAGTGTCAGAACTCCCCCCACACCTGTGCAAATGCCCATGGAGTAGGGCCCCAGAGCCTGGATTTTAAACCAGTCCTTTCCCAGGTGACTCTAAGGCCCCAGCTTGGCCGCATCTGATCAGGTTCAAGGGGTTAATTAAATGGGTAAACTGAGACGTGAGCAGATAGGCCCAGCCCGTCCACACGTGGGGCAGGGTTAGGAATGGCACAGGATGAGTGGGGGACACCAAGGACAGACTGCTTGTGCTTCCCCTCCCCCGTGAGCCCGGGCCCAGGTGTATGATTACCGTGGTCACAGGGCAACAGGGCCACGCCTGCTCATTGCTCAAAGCAGGAAACAGGCTCTGGGGAGCCCAGGCAAGGGCATGGACACAAGGTCTTCAGTGACCTCAGGCGGCCCCACACCTGTCCTGGATGTTGGGGGGACGATGGGGGCAGGAGGGCGCCTGAGTCAGCAGCACTCAAAGGGAAAGCCGGTCCCTCTTGCAGCCTCCCAGCCTCAGGTCAGCCTCAGGCCAGGGATGGGCTGCTACCTTCTCGGCATTTCCGGGGTGGGGTGGCCTCTCCCTACACCCTCCTCCTCCTCCTCCTCCTTGGCCACCCCAGGGCCCTCGCCCAGCTCTGAGGTGGGACCCAGGTCTGGCTTCAAATCCCAAGACATCCCCTTGCTAGCTGGGTGACCTCAGGTAAGCCACTTGTCCACCTTGGGCCTCAGTTTCCCCATCTGTAAAATGCAGTAAGGACTAAATGAGATGATTCCAAACAGGCGTGGAGCCCAGGGCCTGGCAGGCTGTGTACCTAGTGAGCCAGCCATTCCTAGACTCTGGCTCATAACCAGCTGCCTCACCATTCTTCAAACCTACCAGACAGGCTCTGCCTTGGGACCCCTGCACTGGCTATTTCCTTACCTGGGACGCTTTGCCCCCAGGTTTTCACTTAACCAAATCCCTCCCCTCCTTTTGGTCTTGACCTCATGACACTTGCTCAAGTAAGCCCCCCCGCCGGCCTCTCGATTCCTGATGCCTCCCTTGCCTGTTCCTCTCTGCCTGCCTCTTCTCACCCACCGTGCATCTGACTTCTGTGTACATTACTTGTCTTCAGCTTGAGAATGTGCTCCCCGAGGGCTCAGTTTTTAATGCTGCTGTTCACTGCTGTTTCCCCAGTGCCTAGAACAGTGCCTGGCACGCGGTAGGTACTCAACACATTTAAAAAATAATGTACGGATGAATAAGAAAAGGTCAGAAGCAAATGCGACAAACTGTTAACACGTGTGGGTGGTAGCGTGGCTTCCCAAGTATTTTTCAGTGTGTTTGAAATACTGCATTAAAAATACAAAATGCAAATAATAACAGTCCACACTGTTTGGGAGTCAGAGGTCATAGGAAATGGTGGTTGAAGCTTGTGGCGAGGCAGGTGCAGAGTAGGGGTGTCCCCGAGCCAGGCTGGCATCCTCAGAGGCAGGCGCCCCATAGATGCTGTATCTGTGCTTTATCAGCCTGGACCTTGTGGTGACACTTGGAGGTAGGTACAAGGACAGCCCACTTCACAGACAGGAAACGGAAGCTAAGGCCCAAGGCCACCTGTGGAGAGGAGGGAAGGAGGGCGAAAGCCCCGCAGGGAGGCCGAGTAGGGGCAGCCAGGGAGTGGGAGGGAAGGCGGGACAGCCTGGGCCAGGGAGATGGCCCCGCCTTCCAGGAGCTGGCCCAGATCCTGGCTGAGGCCACGACCCTCCTCTGCTGCCCAAACCACACAAGCAGCTTCTTCCTGGCGGCTCGGCTCCGGGGGGCCTAGTAGGCCCCGCGATTCCTGGAGTGGAATCTGGGCTGGGGGCAGGGCGGGCAGGGCCTGGGTGGGAGGAGATGAGGGGTCCAGCAGGGTGGGGGCTGCCTGGGAGAGCACAGGAGCCCTCATCCTGCATGGTGGCTTTGAGGGCCCATATAGGGGAGGGGCAGGGGCAGGGGCAGGGGCTCTGGGGCCCACGGAGGGTGAGCAGTGTGTTGGGCCTCAGGGAAGGGGCCAGGCAGCGGGAGGCTGGGGCAGACCCAGCCTGTCCTCGTTTTACAAGGGAGGAACCTGAGGCTCAGAGAGAAGTGACCTGCCCAGGGTCACGTGGGGGACCACACAGGGGTCTTTGGACCTCCAGCCCAGAGCTCCCTCTCCAGATACAGGGCTGCCAGGCCTGACACTTGCCCTGAGCCTGGGTCTGAACTGTGCTTTTCTCAGCTCACACTGGGTCACAGGACCTGGGGATTTGGAGGCACCAGCCCCCTGCAAGGGTGTCAGGTTTGAGGCTCCAGGAGATTCTCAGAGGCCTACTGGAAGGTGGGGTTCTGTGCTTCATTCGTCTCTGTGGCTGCAAGTTCTAATCCTGCTCTGCCATTTCATCTTTCTGGGCCTCAGTTTACTCATCTGCAAGATGGGGCTGAACAGTAATTGCTACCGTTTATTAACACTGAGCAGTTGATCTGTACCAGGCACCAGTCATACCTTTCATTCTACGCCTATCTTACAGAGGAGGAAACCAAGATCAGAGAGATTTAAGTAACCTGCCCAGAGTCACACAGCTAGTACATGGCAGAGTCAGGATTTGAGCCTGGGCCCCAAGCGAGGTATTAGAGATTGTGGTGAGAATTAAATGAGACAGATCGTAAAGGGCCTCACTCACGATGAGTCCAGAGAGGGTGGGAGTTAGGGAGTCAGGTCCTGGTCTCCCAGCCTGCAGTGGCAGCACTGGGCCACACAGAACTCCCTGGGCTGTGCTGAGGGAAGACAGCGGTCCACGGAGCCCAGGGCAGCCCTGTACCACAAGGTGGCTTCCAGCAGGAGCCGCCTAACGCAGAGGGCACTGGCAGCACAAAGGCTTGGGGGACAATGCCCGGCGAGTTGGGTCGCCCTGCACAGCCGCTCACCCGGGGGCCCTGGCTGAGCAGGGTGGCAGCAGTGGGGAACCCAAGTTCTTGCCCTGGGGCCTCAGCTCCCCATCTAAACCAAGGGAGGGCTGTGCCCCGCCCACTCCGAGTGAGCGGGGACTCTCCGCTGGGACTCTGCTGCCGCACTGTGGGCACCGGAGAGAGTGCGCCAGGAAACGCCCCGACACCCAGCTGGAGGACCCCAGGCCCTCCGTTTGGAGCCCCTTAATCTCTACAGGTGCCGTGCCTGCCACGCTCCTTCTCTGCTCTCACCCTAACTAAGTCTGACCACATCCTCCTCTCTGCAAAGCCCCGCAACTGCCAGTTGTCACGGTTTAAGAATCTTTGTGAGCCAGCCATTGTTTAAAAGCTAACTTACACTGAAAACAGAGGTGAAGTTCAGAACTAAGCACTTCCGGGTTTACTTTGTTTCCCTCCTGTCTGTTCTTCTGCATTACACTGGCTGCATCTGTGTGGTGGAGACACTGTGATAACGGCGCTCGCGGCTGTGCTTGGAACCAGCCAGAAGGGAATGTTTCCACGGCCACAAATCAGGCTGGGTTTACCACTCATGTTCTAGACCAGTGCCTCCAACAGAGACACACTGCAAGCCACACATGTAATTTCAAACTCCCTAGTAGCCAGACTTAAACAGTAACAGCAAACAGGTAAAATTAAATAGCATACTTTATTTAACCCAGGTATGTCCAAAATATTATCATTTCCATGTAATCAATATAAAGTAACTAATGATATTTTTTACACTCTTTTTTTGGTACTAACTCTTCAAATTCTGGTGTGTTATTTTACGCTTAAAGCACAACTCAATTCAAACCAGCCACGTTTCTTCAGGTGCTCAACAGCCGAGCTTCCAGTGGCTATGTATTGGACAGCACAGGTCTAGACTTAAGAAATGGGTGGAGAAAATATTAACGATGCAGATTAAATTTAAAACTAATACTGAGGCTGAAACATTTCAATCCCACTAACAATCTGTTCATCAGTGAGTAATCAGTAGGTCATGTATCAAATTTAAGGACAAACTTACTGGGAAGAGAGCAGGGTAGTAGTAGGCTGAACAGTGGCCCCCAAAGGTATCAGGTCTCAATCCCTGGAATGTAAAATTTTTTAAACATTTTTTAACTTTGCCAATGTGATTAAAGATCTTTACATGGGGAGATTATTTTTGGTTATCAAGGGAGGCTGTAATGAGGGAGAGGCAGAGGAGATCTGGGACACAGAAGAGGAGGCCATGTGGCCACAGAGGCAGAGACGAGAGTTATGTGGCCACAAGTCAAGGAATGTCTACAGCCGCCGGGAGCTGTCAGACGCAAGCATGGGCCTGCCACACTGATTCCAGCCCACTGGTGGTGATTTTGGATTTCTGACCTCCAAACTGTGAGAAAATAAACGTCTGTTGTTTTAAGCCCCCGGACGTGTTGCGATCTGTTTCAGCAGCCACAGGAAACTAATACAGGTAGATGGGATGCAGCTCCGTTTACCATATTGTGGCTGAATTACCACCACAGGTGAGCTACAAATACAAGAACTCAACAACAACTAAAATCAATAAAAGCATTCTGTGAGAAACAGCTGGCTAAACAGAACTTAAAGAGTACTATGTTTTATTACTGGTAATTCATGTGCTACACATCTATCAGTACGATCTACAATAACCTTATGTGTGTGTGTGTATGTGACACACACCAGGTTGTCCTGTACCCTCAGCAGAGCTCAGCACAGTCGGACACTCGTATTTTTTGAATGAATGAATGTGACTTTGGGCCTCAGTTTCCCCCACCACACAACAGGATTATAGGAATGGGATGGGTTCCGCAGCTGGGAAGGGCTGGAGCCTGATGTTGTTAGAGCACCTCTGTATACAAGCCTGGGCTGGGAGCAGAGATGGGACTCAGCACGTGGCCCAAACAGCTAGCTAGTGCCCCAGCAGAGGGCTGGGAACAGTCAGATTCAGGGACTCAGATACGGCCCCCGCATCTGCTTGGGAACTACTCAGAGGATTCTCACAGTCCCAGAGACGGGGTGCCATGGAACCGCTGTACAGGGACAGAAGCCAGCGCCAGAGACACAGCAGGACCTCCGAGGGCTGGACCCCGTTCCTCTGGCCTCATCCCTCAGTCCTCAAGGCAAAGGGCCTCCTTCACTCACTAGGAAGAACCCAGGTCTGGCTTTATCACAGCTGCAGTGGAGAATCCCTCGCAGCTCCCCAGCCCTCCGCACGAGCCCCCATCCCGTGACCCGAGTCAGGGGCCCAGGCACGGTGTGGGTGACCTTTCCCTCAGCTCCAATGTCTCCTCTCCGGGGCATCCAGGGCCCTATCCGCCCAGCCCCGTGGCTACCCCTGCAGGCCCAACTGGCCACAGACCCCAAGGAGGCTCTGCCCACCCCACCCCCACTTCACATCCTGTCACTGATTTGCAGGCCTGAGCCCTGGCCACTCACTTGCTCCCTCTGGACTCTCCCCTCCCTGTTAAATGGGGAGTTATGTGGCTTGCCAGGCTTTCACAGCAAGAATTTGGCCAAGCAGACTGGCTCTGGGCACTGGAAGTGAATGAGGGAGACTCTAGACCAAAGCCCCTGACCAGAGCCTGGGAGCCAGGTCCAGGATCTGGAGGGACTAAACCCCCCGGACCCCACCCCTACTCTACCCAAGCCCCTCTGCCTCAAGCCTGGATCTGCATGCACCGCTCTACCGTGCTCATCTTGAGAGCAGGGGCTGGAAGGGTTCTGCTCACTATGGGGCCCCAGTAAGGGCTTGGCCAGCATACAGCAGAACTCCAGAATTTGTTTAATGAGCAAAACCACCTACGTGTTGTCTACAGAGGCCAGGCCCTCTCCTGCCTTTGCTCGTGCTGTTCCTCCTCCACTGGCCCGCAGCCTCTCTGATCACCCCAAGGAAGACGGGCTTCCAGAACTCAGCACAATAGGATCCTGGCTCCTGTGGGCCCACGGTGCCCTGGGCACCTGGACATACGGCTTACACGAAGTCCATCCTCCTTGCAGTTGGAGAAAAGACAGTGGGCGAGCCCGTCCTCAGCCCTGCGCCAGCAACTGCTCCTCTCCTCTGCGGCCTCGGTGGGCAATGAACTCCGCCCCCTCACCCCCTTCAGAGTTTCAGGGCAAAACAAAGGGATTAAGGAAGAACCAAAGGCAAGTCCTCTCTTACGACAGCATCAGACAACTGTTTCAAAATATATTAGATTTGGTTTTTATTGTAGAGCACACATATCAGGGCAAAGTGCTGCACACACAACTACAAATCATTTTTGGGAAAAAAGCTGTAAAAAAAAAAAAAACAAAAAACTGCAACTGCTTTAGTTATGCAGTCCCGACTTGAGGAATCCACACTGGCAAAGGAGCTCTGGCCCCTGAGAGGGGCTTCTTGATGGTGGCTGCCCCCCAGCTTTCTGCAGCCTCTTCTGTAAGACTAGCCCCCTGGGATGGTAGCAGCCTGGGGACTGGGAGGGCCTCTGCTCTCAGCAGGCCTGGGTCTTGGCCCTGGCTGGCAAGAAGACATTCCTAATGAACCCAGATCAGCAAAACCTTGCAGCCTTCAAGGATCTGAGCAGGTGGAAACTGCCGAAGACTTCACTTATTTTTTCCCTTTCATTATTATTTTTTAAAGGACCCTTCCTTCCCCAGCTCTCATGCCCCTGAGGCGGAGGAGGCACCAACCCAGTCTGCAGGCCTGAGCTCTGGCCTTGGATGCATCCTGCAGGCGGACAGAGGGGGCGGGCAGCTTCCTATGGGGACTGACATAGGGAGAAGGCCCAAGGAGGGCCGATGGAGAAGAAAGGAAAGGGAAAGGAAAAAGCCAGGAGACCAAAGGAAAAAATGAAAACTCAGAACAAAAGAAAACAAAAACCCTACCACACACCACAACAATTTTCCATAGCCCAAACACTAGACTCAGAAGGACACCAGTCCCTCCAGCTAGAAACAATTCCTAAAACTGCCCCAACACGGCAAGTCTAACTGTTCCACACAATCACACGTGTATGCTTAAAAGGAGCAACCCAGCAAAGAGGCAGGCTCCTGGCAAGAGGTCAGGACCACTGCAGCCGGCCCCTGGGCAGCCCAGGGACCCGTAGGCAGAGCAGGCCAGAGGGCATGCAGGAAGCCCGGGGTCTCAGCCAACTGAACAGCTCAGGGGCTGGCACTACCTAGGCCTCTGCCCGGTTCATCCCTAACAATTGCTGCAGGAGGAGCGGGTATCTGCGGGAGCTGCTGGGGCCTGGAGAGCAAGTGAGGGGTGGGAGGGCAGCAGGCCCCCTGCAGAGCCGGCAAGACCTCAACCCATCGCAGACAGTGGGGGGAGGGGGAGGAGATTGAACGTCATTTACAACACTAAGAAGATTTACATTTAAAGCAAAACAAGAATTTTTCTAAACCAAAACATTTTGTTGCTTTTAAATAAACCCAGCCAGACACAGCCCCACGTGAGGACAGCTGCCCCCCACGCCTCCACTGGCCACTCCAGCGTGAGCTTCTGTGCCTACAGATGCCAACAGCCTTTCCATCCAGGAGGAAAACCAAGAACACGAGAACCAGGTCCTGGCCAATTCTGTTCTTCAGCCTTAACAGGCAACAAACCAAGGAAAAAAATATAAGAATCAAAAAAAGAAAAGGAAAGGAAAAACCCCTCAAAACGCAACAAAAGGAGGGGCAGCTAGTGAGGATCAAGCCGAGTCCCGGAGGCTCAGGCCTCAGTGCCGCCGCATCTTCACCTTGCGGGCGGGGCTGCCCGCCGCCTCCGAGCAGTCCTCCCCGGGCTCGTAGGACTTGCGCCAGTAGTTCTCCGAGCTGAGGCTGCCCCTCCGCCGGTGTGTGGGCAGCAGCACCGAGCGCCGGTTCTCCTCCTTGTCCATCTCCAGGATCCGAGGCCTGTGAGGGAAGGGGTGGGGGAGGCGTTACCCAGAGACTGGCCCAGGGCCACCCCAGCTCACCAGGTCTCCATGGAGGGGGGTGTATGGCAGTGGCAGAAGCACTGGCACCGTGTCTTTCTTTGCCCAGCAGGTGCCAACGGTCACCCCTCGTCTTTGAGACATTCCCCGGTTACCCTGTGGGGTCTGCTGGGCTCTGAGTCTGGTGCCCCAGGACACCGCCAAGGCTGCCGGGCAGAAGGCGGCTTTCCTATCACAGCCTCAAGCCCCTGCCTGGTTCTGGCATCCCCCTCGGCTTCTCAGTCCTCCCCCGACTCCCACTCTCCCTCTCTGCTCACCAACCCCACCAGCCCTGAAACTACCAAGCTCTTACTGTCTCCGGCTCTCAGCCCATACGGCACCCCTGGCCCACACTGCCCCTCCCATACATCCTCCCCATCCTTCCAGCCTCAGCTTCAGCAGCTTCCTCAGAAACCCTTCTGAAACGGGCCCCTGCTCGGCGACCTTCCGAGGCCTGCACTTCCCTGCTAACGTCCCATGTAACCCACCGGAGCGTGTGTCAGGGAGCAGGACCAGGGAAGGCGTGGGAAGGCACAGAGCGTTCCCACAGGCGGATGGCCAGGGCTTAGTCGAGAATGCCACCAACCCCAGGGAACCAGACAGAAGGCATTAGAAAGGTGGACAATGCCCGGCTCCTAACCACCTACCCCAGGCTTCCCACCCATCTTGCCCTGCAGCCAGGCCGTGGCGCCTGCTTTGCTGGCCTGTGTTGAGGGACCGCAGCTGAGTACCTGTGGGCAGCATCAGGGTCTGCCTTGCGGTGGGACCGCTTGGGTTTCAGAGCGGGGTCCCTGTTGTTTCCGGACAGACGATCTGAGGCATAGCTGGGTGGTAACACGGAGCTGCTCAGGGACTTTGTTTCCAACCGGGGTGCATCTAATCTCGTCCTGCAAAGGAAATGCACGTGGGGTCACCGGCAGGCCTCTGGGGAGGGTGTGGCCCCATTAGACCAATTCTTTCTCTGGCCGGGCTAGGTGGAGGCCAGCAGTCTCCTCATGGTTCAACTAGGAATTGGTCCAGCTGACTTGCAAAGACCGTCCTTCCCAAGTTCAGGCTTAGGAGTCGGGGACGGGAACACTTCTGTTTGGAGACTTCCAGTGACCTGCTGCCCCAGGGGAAGGATCCCAGGGCTCTCTCAGCTGGACGAGACAGCCCCATCTCACCCTCCTCCGGCCCAGAGATTCTCAAGGGACAGCTACTGCACCTGCCAGAGGACTGAGGGCCCCACTGGTGGGCACCAACACACTCCAACAGACACTTCCACCCCTGCCTGAAAAACCAGACAGGAAGGTTCCCCTGGTCCAGGCCTGTGGAAGGACTGGAGGGGAACATAGTAAGAGCTTCCCTACCCTTACACAGGGACGCCAAGGCTGTGGTAGAGCCAGGAGGAGGGCCCAGACCCAATCCCACATTCACGCTTGGCTCTGGTCCCAACACAGCCACCTGGCAGCTTCTGCTGGTTCCGGGACACTGACCAAGCCAAGGCCAGAGGGCTTCTGAAGGCAAAGCCCCCACCTGGCACTTGGAACACACCAGTCAGTCGAGGAAAAGCGTGCAAGTGTGGAGGGGGAAGAAGGGATGGAGAAACTGGGTAGGGGTAGCCCAAGGCAGCGATCCGAGTCCTTTAGGAAGTCAGGCCAGGAGGAAGCTGGCCTGGGAAGCCTCAAAGAAGCCCCAAGGCCTCCTGTGGGATACAGAAGCCAGCAAGTCAGGCCGCTGGCAGCAAGGGGCAAGAGAGAGGCCTGGGGTGGGGAGTGATGGGGGCACAGCTGGCAGAAGGCCCTGGAGGCATCTTTCCCATGGGCTGCTGGCCACAAAGGAACAACTGGGTTCTGAGGAAGAAGGTGCTATGGCACCTCAAAGGACATCCTCACAAGAACGCTGGGGGAAGAGAGCAGAAGGGGAACCCAAGAGCTGCCTTGGGTTCTTGGGAATGACTGTGCCCGGTCCTCATAACAGAAGGGAAGACTAGGTCAGTCAGGAGGGAAGGCACGTGTGCCGGGAAGTCCTGGGAGAAAAGTCTAGTCCAGGTGAGCCTCCAAGCCTCTTAGACAGGGAAGCCAGAAGGGCCCAGCTGCACTTACTGGCCCACCAGCCTCGGCTTCCACTCTGGGGACCCCGGGCTACAGGAGACAGGACCTAGGAGCAACAGGAAGATCCAGCCCTGAGGCTGCCACTCAGAGTATGGGCTAGTCACCATCCCTTTCAGGGCCTGTCTCCCCATCTGAGCAAAGGCCTCTTTCAGTTCTGAGGGTCTAGAGACCAAAGACAAGTCGCCTCCTTCAAGGCTAGGATCCTTTCGAGGGGCACTGGGAAGACGTGGTGCTGGGCACACCCAGACCTGAGGGTGGGAACCAGAATCACCGAAGCCCTGAGACCTCTCGTTGACCAGGCCAGGCCTCAGATCCCTGCGCTGAGAGCTCACACCAAATGTGACATGAGCCAAAAAGCTCGACTCAGAGGACTCCAGAGTCTGAAGCCTCGGGAAGGAAAGCGCCCCTCCAGCACTGCCGAGCCGAGCTGACCCGAAGACCCCGCGGGTGCCGGGAGCACACGCCCAGGGCAGAAAAGCCCGTGTGGGCAGGACCCGCGGCCCAAGACCGTGAAGTGGTTTTCCTCGGGTGAGTGCGGAAGGCCAGAGAAGAGCAGCGCCACCAAGAGGAGAGCCTGGCCCACACACCTCCGGGGCTGGAAGGCACATCCTGCCACGCAGGCATGGCTGGCACACACTGAGCCCTGGTGGGGCCCGCCCTTCCTGAGCTGCTTGCGACTAGGGCAGCCGGCCCGGGCAGCCGGGGGCAGTGGTGGGGGCCCCTCGCGGTGGGTCCAGGACTGCTGGGGAGGCTGGGGAGACAGGTGGGACCAGCTGAGAGTGGACAGAAGCCAGGCACACAGACAGGCTCTGTGTCCCTCCAGCTGCCTGAGAGAAGAAGAGACGGAAGGCGCAGCTCCCCCCACAACAGCTCTGCTACCGTCAGGGCCAGCCCTCAGGGAAGGAGTGATCAGAAGCAGCCCCACCAGAAACTCAGCCTCCCGCACCCACTTTGGGGGCAGTAGGAGCTCTGGGGCCCAAAATGGCTCCTGACACATTCCCTGGGGCTGTTACAAGTACATCTCAGAACGTTGGAGGAGCTCTACTTTCGAAAAGCCACCAAGCTGCAAGAAGCCGGGCTAGAGCCAGATGCACAGCCCAGAGCCCACCAGCAGTGTGCCTTCAGAGCACACCCCTCCCCTCTTAAAGGGCAGCCAACTCCCAGGGAGCAGGCCAGGGTTCAGCAGACAGAGCCACAGGTTTGGAGGCAGGAAGCCCAGTTCTAGCAGTAAGGTCTGGGCCTGTGCCTCCTCGGGTGGTTAACAGGAGCCAAGACCTTCCTTACAGATCTGAGCCAACATCCAGGGGTCACGGCAAGGCACCCCAGGTATGTCGGGACAGCCCCCAGGACAAAGCATGGACTGGTCCTAGGTACCGGGAAGCCAGAACCAAGGGAGGATGGCCAAGCATTAAGGTAACATTACCATGTGACCGGAGAGGAAGGGAGGAGACTGACTGTCTAGGTGCTGCCCTCACGTTCCTTTATCAATCATGACTCCCGCGGAGAAGCTGCTGGGGCGGGGCGGGGCAGGGTGGGGGTGGGGGAGGGGGAGAGTGCGAAATCAGAGACCCAGTCACTGGCCTCAGCCACACAGCTGCTACCCCAGGATGCCCCTGAAGCCCAGGCAGGCTCTCTTCACCGCGGCAGAGCAGAGAGCTGTCCTGGCAGAGGCAGGCCACCGTTTCTGGGAGACGGGGAACCAGTCTGCACTTCAGGCCCCGCTGCTAACCACCCACAACTGCTGGTTCCACCCTCCCCAAGCACCCTTGTACTACAAAGCCTGGCTTTCCCAATGGAGCAAGCAGGCAGGGCGCAGTGAGGCAGGCCTATCAGAGTACACTCCTCGCCTACGAGTGCCCTGGGCCCCAAGGTCTACGCTCCTGCCCCTCTAAGTATCAGACTCCCCCACAACCCAGACCCACACCCATCCCTCCTGCAATAGTACCGCCTCCCAGCTCCCACCAACACCACACGCTTCTCTCCAACTCCTGCCCTGCTCTCCCCGCATGGCAGTGCTGACACGGGTGCAGCAGCCTGCTACGGTCAGAGGAGCCTGAAGGACACCTGAGTGTATCACCCAAAGAAAGGGCACCCCAAGCACGTACATGGTCCTGGGCTCCCAGCAGACCTCCCCCGACCCAGGCCAACAAAACACCCAGTCCCCAAGGGGAGCCTTCTCCAAATCGCCCAGACTGCTTACCACCACGCCATCCATGCCACATGCGCGTAACCCAGGGCCTCCACAGACGCCAGCCAGACCACAGGATCAGGGTGCTCAGGGATCCCCCAGTTCAGGCCCTGGTAAGGGCTCACTGTCCTCCAGGACACCAGGAGACCTGACACTGAGGCTGCTTTCCCGCACCGGGGCTGCTGACCACCATGGCTCTGGGCTCCCCTTTCCTCACGCTGCACCTGACCGAGCACAGCCGTCCTTATCCCTACCCCTGCCCCATCGAGATCAGAGGGGGCAACGGTAAGGGCCGAAAAGCACACACAGCAGTCTCGAGTTTAATCATCTCCAGCATCCCAACGGCCCCAATTTTCAGGTAAGAACACAGGGCTCAGGTAACCAACTTGTATTCAGTAAAAAAGGGACAGAGCCAGGCCAAGGGCCCAAGCCAGTCACATCCCTGGCGGCCTCACCGCCTCCTTATTCCTCAGGCAGGTTGTGGATACACCCAATCTCCGGACTCCCCAGGAACAAAGGTGCATAGTCCTTGGTACCGGGACAAAAACCATGGAGACACAAGCAGTGGCAGGCAGGTGTCCCGGTGGGGGCCATATCTCAGGCCTGGCCGGGATCAGGGAAACGAAGAGCTGAGGGACAAAGCCCAGCGCACACCCTCTGCTCATCCACACACACAGCCTTGCATTCGGCTGCTCTGCTTTCTGGGAGGGCCTCCCTCTGACCCCAGGGACCCCCGGACCAAATGACCCAGTAGGCCGTTTAGCTCAGCCTCCCACAGGCAGTCTCTCCTAAACAAGCCCCCAGCTGCTGCTCCCAGGCCTCGGTCCTCCCCAGGGCCCTCCAGACCTCCCGCACAGCAGCAAGCACTCTGACGAGCTCCGACTGGGTCCCGCCCTGTCCGTCTCCACTGTGTTCCCCACTCTGGGCCTCTGTTAGGAACGGCACCTCTGCCTGACCTGTCCTTGCCCCTGAGCCTGTTCGAAGCCTGCCTGAGGCCCACACACCACCCCTGACTGCCTTCAGGCGGCACCTCTCTCGAAAGCATTCCCTGACCAGCCTCCGGTGAGGCGCTAAACCTTTACCTTCCCCCAAAGGTAAAGTGAATGAGAAGAGACCACACTCACCACTTGCCCAGCACCAGCACAGAGCCTAGCACACACCAGCTTTGGTTAACATTTGGCAAGTGACTCTCCAGCTGCTTTTCCAAACTTCAGCCCACTGTGAGCCAAGCTCCACTTGACCAGCAGCAAAGAAACAGGCTATTTACACCGCCTTGAGCCGTTTCCTCTGGTTAATCATGCAGGAACACAAGTCTCATAGGCCAACCCGATGCAGGCCTGGGGGCCTCCTGAACACCAAGAGATTGGGTGCCCTGGCCACCAACCAGAAGGCCCTGAGGGCCACAAGCCATCGCCTGATGCTGAAGTTTGGATCCAGTGCCTCCTTCCCCTCACTGCCCCTCCATTCCAGAGGCCCTCTATACTTCCCGCCTTCAAGCTCACCAATTCTGCCTGGCCAGCAGTTTCCAGCTCAGGAGCCAGAGCTACCAAGCGTGTCCCAACAAGCCCCTGAAGCTGCAGGTTGTCTTTTTGTTTGTGTTTGCTGGGCCCCAGTGGACACGCTCTGTGCTCCTAGGACAATGCTCACTCTGCTTGTGCTGTCTGAGCATGCGAAGTGCCCACCTACCACAGACCGGCCCCAAGGGAGCGCTGAGTCTCCTACATGCCCACCTCGGGTGCCTTGTGCACACGAGATGCTTCATGTTCCCAAGTCGGGAATCCCTGCTCAGAGATCACTCCAAACTGGCTAAAGCCAAGGCAGTGAGCTGCCTGCTTGAACCCCTGTCCAAACAGAGTTCACACCCTCCACTCTCAGGGCTAATGTGTGGGAAGCACTCTACCCGGCGCCCAGCCCCCAGTAGCTGGGTGCTTGGCAGAGGGCAGCACACAAGGCCCTTAAAGGCCGCACGTCAGGGAACTGTGGGAAAAACCAAATACTCCCCCACCCCAATGACTGCCACACCTCAGAAGTTGGCCAGCCTCCTGGTTCTCTAACCGGTCATTTAAAACTTAAACCACACTTCCAAAAGAGTAGGTCCAGCTTCCCTGCCAGGGGAACCAATGATTGACAAAGATGCATGCTGGGCAGCTTGCTCTGGGTGGGCTGGGAAACAGCGACATTCCAGGAAGCTGGGCGTATTCAAGAGCTGACCAACCTGCAGCCGCAGCCTCACCCCACACCCTGGAGGGTAGCCCCCTACCGCTTAAAATACTCTCAGCCCCCAGCTCTCTACTGGCACAGCAGAGGCAAGAAAGCCCTTCTGTATGTAAGGCTCTGGGTTCTTCAACTCACAGCATCCTCCCTGGGGCAGGGCTCGGGGTGTTCCACTGTGCAAACCACCAAGGGCCACAAGACCCAACACCAGGAGACCAGGTTCAAGGCCGCACTGAGCCATTTACCGGTTGTGACCCCAAACAGATGACACTAAGCAGCAGCCTAGGGACTGCACTCCCGGGGAGGCTCTCCGAAGGTCACTCCCAGCGAGAAACTATGGCACCACCTCCTACATGAAGACTCAGCATGATCCACGTGCAAAGGAGCCGTGTTCTGCTGAACCAGGCAGCACTTAACCGCCGCCCACCCGTTTCCCCCATGAGGCCCTTAGAAAGACTACGGCAGTGCTGACCAGCCTGAAGTGGTGACAGAGGCCCCAGGCCCTCCCTCTGCAGCCTGTGCGATCTATATCCGAACCTAAGAGAAGGCAGAGCTGGCTCCACCCTACCTGCCTACGAGGAGCAGGGACGGGCTCAGTGCCCAGGTCCCACCTGTCGGGATGTGGCCTCACCCAAGGACATAGAGTCAGCCAGGCACCCACCAAGGCCACATCCTTGACTCCTGGGCAGCGCCTGAGCCAGGATGCAACCCTTTTCATCAGGTCACCAGCTTGTCCTTTTGTACCTGGTGCTGTTCATCGACCGGAGCTGTCCTCCTCTGGACCGGCCTCAGTGCTGGGACTCAGATGAACAGGGCTCTCCCTGGCCCCCACAGAACACAGCTTTGGAACTCACAACGGCAAGTGTGCAGGCTGTGACAGCAGGGGTGGGGGTGGGCTGAGAGAGCTACATGCATATGATGCTTCCTGCATGTCAAAATGGTTGACCCTCGAGCCTTGAAGGACGGCTAGGTTAACCAACTTTCGGTGCGTATATGTGGGTCATCTGGGGGGGTGGGTGTGGGTCAGAAGGGAAAGCATTCCCAACAGAGGCCACACTGCTGCAAGAGTCTGGGACATCAGTGCGTGGGCCACACTAGGAGCCGCAGGTAATTTAACGTTAAGTCGGAAGGAGACAACAGGGAGAACATCGAGGGAGGAGGCTGGATGGACAGGCAAAGTCCAACAGAGACCTTGGATTTTACTCTGCAGGCAAGAGAGCGGCCCTTGCCTCTCCTCTGGTCCCCTGGGTGGGCTGCCTACAGCTAGGCACTTCACCAGCTCAGCAGCCTAGGGAAGCTGCGGAGGTGGGGGCACCCATCCACTCCTTTCCAGCCCAGTCCCTGGCTGGCTCCTGGACCCACTCAGGGCAGAAGGTCAAAGAGCCCAGTCACCCACAACAGCCATTCTCCTCGGTCAGAACGCTACAGGGGCTCAGCTGGCCAAAGAGCTTCCGGGGTGAGCTAGTTAACAGTGTGCAGAGTCCTGGGGACTTCCCTGGTAGTGCAGTGGTTAAGAATCCGCCTGCCAGCGCAGGGGACACGGGTTTGAGCCCTAGTCCGGGAAGATCCCACATGCCGCGGAGCAGCTAAGCCAGCGTGCTGCAACAAATAGTAGCGCCCGCTCGCCGCAACTAGAGAAGGCCCACACGCAGCAACAACAAAGACCCAACGCAGCCATAAACAAACAAACAAACAAAAAAACAACAGTGCAGAGTCCTAGCTCCACCGAGGAGCATCCGGCTTGGGCAGACAGGTACGGGAGCCACCGCTTGAGGAAGGAAACAGCCAGAAGAATGACCCAACACTCCAGCTCTGGCCACTTCCTCCTGCACCTCCAGTGAAGCTTTCCCTGGGATGAGCTATTATGAGGAGCTGGGAAGGAACACCTAGAAGGCACTGCTCTGGTTCTACTCCCCCCGACCCTCATTCCTGCCCCGGGTGGGCCACCTGGTTTCTGGCTGCCGCTGGAGGTACCAGGCACACCTGACAAGAAATGACTGGGAAGGAAAGGCCAGAAGGGAGCAACACATTGGGCTGCCTCACTTCTGGGTCCTGGGTTTTGGACTGTGCTGGGAACCACAGGAAAAGCAAGCGGAAAAGCAGATAAAAACCCTTCTTCTGATGGATTCTGGGAATATTCTTAGGCTAGAGGAGAAACGCTGCCAGGCTGACCACTGACTGGAGTTCCCCTAGGTGCCCAGCGCCCTGCCCACACCGCAGGACTGTCCCACAGGTCTGGGTCATCTCCATTCTACAGATGATAAAACAGACTCAACATTCTGACTTGGCAAAGCGGCAGGGCCGTGCCAAAGAGACATCACCACCACAATGTACTGGAGCTCCGGATCCAAAGGGCCAAGATGCAGAAGTGATAAATTGCAGTTAAAAAGATGACAAGCCTGGGCTTCCCTGGTGGTGCAGCGGTTGAGAGTCCGCCTGCCGATGCAGGGGACACGGGTTCGTGCCCCGGTCTGGGAAGATCCCACGTGCCGCGGAGCGGCTGGGCCCGTGAGCCATGGCCGCTGAGCCTGCGCGTCTGGAGCCTGTGCTCCGCAACGGGAGAGGCTACGACAGTGAGAGGCCCGCGTACCGCAAAAAAAAAAAAAAAAGATGACAAGCCAGAGAGTAAGGATGTACTTAAAAAAAGAAAGAACTCCCAATGGCCAAAGCTGGGACAAGCTGAGCACAGAACAGACACCACGAGTCCACACTGATGTCAGGAATGAGTGAACGAAGAAATAAACAAGTGGGGGACAAGACACAAAATCTCCTGTGCAGAAGGATTCCAGGCAATCTCTGTGGCGACTCCGCCCTCAAAGAGGTGGCGCTCACCCCCCACTCCTTACATGTGTGCCGCTCACAGCGACGTCCCTCCTGGGAGGACAGTGTGGACAGGGGGCAACAGTGACGAACGCAGCCTCAGCCGGGCGCTCAGGGTCAGCGTTGACGGTGGAAGGTCCTGCGCCCTGGACGTGACGTGAGGAGAACTGCGCTGCTCCTCTGCGGTCTCCTCCCCAGACCCACAACCCCGGTGTAACCATGAGGCAACACCCCAACTGAGGGACCTTCCACCACACACCTGGCGGTCAGTGTTACCACGAATAAGGCAAGTCTGAGAAAGTGTTGCAGCGGAGAGGAGCTAAGGTGACATGACAACTGCACATCCTGTGGGGTCTGGGACAGAAAAGGACGTGAGGAGAAACCAGGGAAATGTGAGTAAAGGATGGACTCCAGTTAACCGTCCCGGATCAGTATTGGTTTCGTGACTGTGATGAACATACCACACTGATGTGAGACATTAACAAGAAGGGGAACGGAGAGCTCTCTGCTGTCTTCACAACTTTCTGTAAACCTAAACCTGTTCTAAACAATAAAGTTTACTTAAATTAAAAAAAGAACAAATAAGGCAAGCTATAGGACATCCCGCTGCAGCCTGGGTCCAGGCACTGTCCTGCTCACTGACGACTACACGAGCCTGGGCAATCAGCCAGCCTTCTCAGGACCCCTGCCTCAAGGCAGGATTGTCTTGACCCAGCGTCCACGTGGTCAGTCCATTCACCTCGTGAGCCGAAAAAAAAGAAGTGCTGGAGATGCCAGGATTGGCAATGTTGGTCAGTGCGTCCCTGACCCCCTGGCCAAAGAAGAGGGACAGCCACAAGCCACGCGCCTGCTCAACACGCGGCCAGCCGCCCACCTACATCCCCTGTCCTCACCCCCTGCTCCTCTCAGAAGTGAAAGCCCAGGCATTTTTAAAGCAAGCTGCTGAGGCACAACCTAAAAATACTCAGTGAGAAGCACACGTGACAAATCAGAACCAAGGAGGAAGGAAAAGGAAGAGGTGGGGGGAGGCAGGGCCTGGAAGAATGTCCCCCAAATCCTGTCTCAAGACCCAGCCCACAAGCACTGGGAGCGTGCGCTTTTGCTCAGCCCGCGTGCTGAGGGCTGTCGACAGAGGAAGCCAGACCTCCACGGGCAGTCAGGTCTGCAGGAGCCAGACACCGGGACACTTACTTCCTGAGGATGATGACGGCTCTGCGCTCCTTGATGTCCTGAGGCCGGATGCAATGAGTGATTTCATCAGCAGCGTATCCACTGAAAAGAAACACAGAGCGCGTGGGCACAGAGGGTAGATGGACAGCCAAAGACCCCCAGGGCTACGGAGACAGAAGGAGGGTCCCGCTGTTAACAGCCACCCCCACCCCATTACATGACACGTTCAAGGATCTACGTGGGAGGAAATAACGTGTTCAGTTCCAGGATGCTTTTGGCCAGAAACCACTGAAGGGAAAACCTGGGATGAGGTAAAAGCAGGTCTTAAAGCAGAAGCAGGAATCTCCTTGCACAGGCCAGGAGCCCTTCTTTCAAAGGGTCCCCAAGAGGGCACACCTTTAGTGGCTTTGGAGGCCGATGGAGTGACTCAGGCCAGGCCCTGGGGAGAAGATAAGAACTGCATCTCCCCCTCCCCCACCCTTGGGCTGGCAGAGGAGGCCAAGGCAGACACTGACAGCACTGAGTCACCAGAGAGAACTAAGGCTGCAAGGTTCAAAAAGAGAATTTGCCTACTTGGAAAAAATGCTTTCAAAAACCTTCATTTTGGGGGATCCAAAATCTTCAAGACAGCTGTGTTTGGAATATTTTAAGAATTCCCATCACACTCAAGTATCTATTTATTTTCTTCATCAAATTACATGATTTTGAAAACTGCTCAAACCAATGAATGTGGGTAGACGGCTGTCCTCTTCACAGCTAATGTCTCTCCGACTTGAAACTCTGGAAGCAAACTCAGCTCCCTGAGTACAGGCCCTCACTGGGAGCCTGGCAGTCATGAGGCACTCCCACCCCGAGTTCCCCACTAAGCCCTCCACTGAGCCAAGGCAGCTCCGCAGCCACAGGCCTCCTCCCCCTGCTCAGGTTCCCTGGCTGCCACGGGGGACCACCAATCTTCTCTATTCAGCTGCTAGTCAGCTCCTTCTCAAGGGCAGCTGTGAAGACGTGGATGGAGCAATGGTCAGAAACACCACAGGCCTGGGAAGGACTCCTCAAAATGGCCAGGCTGCCCCCACGTGGGCAAGAACTAGATGCAAGAGCGAATAAAAAGTCCTAGAGAGAAGTACCTCTGATTCAGAAATCTGATTTGGGGCCATGTGGAGGGCGGAGAAAAGAGCTCTCATTTTAGGGATTTTCCCCTTTGAGCTGCTCCTCGACCAGAGGTTTTCAATTTTCTCTGTAAATAACAGTCCCGTGAGATAACTACGGACAAATGTCCACAGTCAAATCAATCTGGAAATATTGATGGGTTTAAGAAAGCACTGGTATGTTAAAGGACCTGAGAATTACTACAGCTGACTTGAACTGAGCACTGACCAAGGAACCTTCTCTCAAACAACACCTATTAACATCTGCAGGCAGGAGTTCCCTGGTTGTCTAATGGTTAGGATTCAGCGCTTTCACTACAGAAGCCTGGGTTCGATCGCTGGTCGGGGAACAATCCCACATGCCACGCGGCATGGCCAAAATACAAAAAAAAAAAATTTAGGGACTTCCCTGGTGGCTCAGTGGTTAAGACTTCGCCTTCCAATGCAGGGGGTGTGGATTCGATCCCTGGTCAGGGAGCTAAGACCCCACATGCCTCGTGGCCACAAAACCAAAACATAAAGCAGAAGCAATACTGTAACAAATTCAATAAAGACTTTAAAAATGGTCCACATCCCCCCAAAAAAAAATCTTTAAGAAAATATCTGGAGGCCCAGTGAGAAATGCCATACAGGGATGGAGGAGTTGAAGAGACCTGGGTTACAACCTGAGCTCTGTCACCTTAGCTGAGTCACGGGCTGGGCCAACTGCAGGGACAGCAGTAGATTCTCGGGTGTTCATGTGGTGCTGCTCTGTGCTCTGTCACTTACGACATTCCTTTGTGGTGACTAACGATGAGATTGTTAAAAGGGTCAGTGCTCCTGCTCCTCTCTTCTAGGCAGAACTACAGTTATATGTCTTCCTGGTTAGCACCCCTGGAGAAGAGCAGTGGGAGGCCCACCTGCAGGGCTACCATGAGAATTCAGTGAGATAATGCAGGGTGCCTGGCACCCCCATTTACTGAGCACGTGACACAAGCCAGGCGTCCTGGACAACCTTCATCCAGGCTCCCCCTGCAGGAGAGGCCTCCTGGGCCCCCTCCCAGGGCTAGGAGCTCTAGAGCTTATCCTATGCTCTCTCTTGTCACTCCACATTAGGGGAGTGCAGATCTGGGCTCCAAGACAGTCCCATACTAACACGGGACTTTCCCAAAGAGTGAAGTCCAGTTCCCCAAAGGCAATCCAAGGCATATTTCTAAGGCCTAGACCTGCAGTACCGGTTGCAGGCAACCTTCCTTACTGTTAACGAGTGTTACTAATCTGTTTGACTTGGCCATAGGACCTGCCAAGGGCCCTGACTTCCCATCTTCAGCAAGGAACTGCATCCTGTAACACAGAAGCAGCAGATCCCGACGCTGGTCAAATTTTAAGTGCCCCCCACCTCCCAAAGTGCTCCAAAACAAAGAGCAAGTCATGCCAGGGCCTCAGCCTCAGAAGAACCCAGCCCAGGCCTCAGAAGAACTAGTGCAGAAGCAAGACCACACGGGCCCACAGAAATGACCATGGCGCTCACTGACCCCCACCTGAGGAACTCACTGGCACTGGTCTTCTAGAACTTCCTGGCAGCTACGACACAGCCTACTGACCCTGTCCTCAGTATCAAGCTCTGCTGGGAGTGGGAGGCTCCAAGTCCTATCAGAGGAAGCTTTTCTGTCCAAACTTCAGCAGAAAGTGTCCAACAGAGACCACAGAGGATTATTTACTGCTAAGGAACTTACTTGCTACAAGACAAACTGTTTGAAAGTGCCAGTCTGCCAGCTTGAAACTTAATATACCCTGGGTCCAGGCCTAACCTTGGCATGAAGAAAAGTTCCAGTGCCTCCTCCTCTTTTGTTCTCACAGGGAAGGGAGAGGGGAAATACCTGAGACTGGTACTGCCCTGCACTGAGCCCAAGCACCACCCCCCCCCCCCCCCCCCCCGCCTCCATGCAGCAGTGACTAGTGTGCCGCAAGCACCCAGAGCAAGAGCCTGGCTGTCACCCACCACACGATGCCTTAGAGTGACTCTTGAAAAGTCTCCCCTCTCTTGGGAAGCTCTGCTCAACTCCCCAGGCTGGGTTCCGCCACACCACCCGCCCAACCCTCTCTTGCTACTGCAGTTCGGCCTTGTGGCAACTGTCTTCCCTACAAGACAGAGCTCTGCAAAGGCCTTACTCATCTCTGCATACAGCAGACGCTAGATGACGTGTGTGTGTCGAGGTCAACGTTCCTACTGCTGTGAAGACTCAGTTTCTGCATCTGCAAAACACAGACTGCAGCAAGTCCTTCCTCAGAGGATCAGGTGCGGGTCAAATGAGGAGTCTGGAAGACTCTTTATAAGGGGCTGTGCAGGACTACACACCTCTCCTCTAGGGGACAGCCTTGGAGACGGAATTATTAAGGCACAGTTCCAAGGTGGCCGCCATTCCCCATCTACTCTGTGCCCTGCCCAGGGCAGACAGAGCCAGAGATGGAGGGCCTGGCCGAGATCACCAGGACTGCCTGGCGACACCTCCCTCCAGCAGGGGCACCTGCTCTGGCAGCCCCCATGAGCCTGCCTCACCCCTGAGAGGCCTACAGGACCTCACTTAGGATTTGGGGGGCAGCAGGCCAGCCACCTGAGCACAGGGGCAGAACTGTGAGCTCAGACTCAAGTTATAATCACACCTGAACCTCCTAGAAGACACATGGCCTAACACGATGAAGCAGTCCTGGGGCTTTCTGAACCCAGAAGGAAGAAGGCCAACCTGTTCCAAGTCCCAATTCTGTACACATCAAGGTATAAATAGAAAGCAGCTGAGCACAGAGGCAGCTTGTTTCCAGACACTTCACCAAAACCTCAAGCCTTCGGTCACGTGAAAGAGAATCAATCTTTGCTAACAATTCTAGGACTTCAACAGCCCCATTTTGCAGAGGCAAACTAAGGCCCAGAGAGGTTAAGTAACTTGCCCAAAGTCAAACAGCTAAAGTGGTGGCACTGGAACTCTAATCAAACTCTCGGTTCCAGTGTCTATGCTACACTGGTTTCTGTTTTTTGATGGGAGTGGCGGTGGGGAGAGGTAGGTAACGAGGAGTAGGAAGAAAAGCCCATCTGTGTTTCCCAGTGACAAGGTCCAATCTGTCGTGGGGGCCTCACCGACCTCAGCAAAGGATACAGGTATTCCAACCACCTCCAGGGGGAAAAGTCCGCAGAGATGAGCCCACGCCTCCAGCCAGTTAGCATCATATCCCAGTAACAGCAGCACACCAACGGCCCAGTCAAGAATGGCCAGCCAGCCCTGAAACTTTTATGGCCTATTTATTTTCTGCTTTCTCTGACCTTCATGACTAAGACCGTCACTAGCCTGCTAGCTTCCTTTCCTTTGCTGCCCTCTGCCTTCTTCTCACGCCTGGCAGAGCCAAGGCCAGCCAACACCCCGTAGCCCAGCTCCTCCTGAGAATAAACAGCCCTGACTTCATCCTCAAGTTCCTCCCCCTCTCACGGAATCAGAAGATTCCACACAAGAGATGTGGCCCAGACCTATCTGCCCTACATTCCCAACTATTTTAAGCCAGAAAGCTAAATTTTGCTTTCAACCAGCTGAACATGATCAGTCCTTTGCCCAGAACTGAAGGGGTGCCCGCTCCACCCAATGTCAACTGTTATCTGGAAGTCACAGGCTGCGCTCACCACTGCGTGCCTCATGGCTGGGCGATACAGTAATTTGCGGACAGGTGGCTAAGGCCTGGGTCTTTGGGCATGTGGCCACCGCAACCACAGACCACTCAGCAGTGATTAAAAATAGCAGCAAGTATGCAATTAGCCTTGAGGTAATTATTCCAATTAATCCATCTGAAATCTGTTTTAATCTGCCACTTACCATACAGGGAACAGGAAAAGGAATACAAGATGAACTGATGTAAGAAGAGATAAAAAAGACTTATTTCTCTAGAGAACAGCCCTAAGACAGGACCCACTCAGGCCCAGCGTGGAAAGGTTACAGAAAAACAAGTACCAGCTGGCTTGGAAAGAAGTCTGAAGCACTTCCAGAAGGCTCTGCTCTGGAGTCGCTCTAAATGCCCACGTCTGGACACTGCTGAGTCAATGTTTGCCACACACTGAAATCCACGCTGACAGCTATTAAATATAAAACTGTACTCCTGCCATATTGCCTTGGACGGGTACAGACACCACTGCCATCAACAACACAAGTCTGAGTCAGATGAGAACAACTAGAACCCCTGCCCATCTGTAGAGAACCACTGTGTTTGTTCATCAGCCCCTTCCATCGGCAGCCTTACAGCTCATCACCTCTGGGCTGGGATACTTACCAGGAAGTGAGAGCAAGCATCCCCTCTTACCAGCTCAGGGAAGAGCCCAAGCAGGACTTGCACAGAGGCAGCACTAACATGCAGGTGTTCACCCACCTGCATAGCGAGTAAGCTCAGAGAGCTAAGTGAACACGTGCTGGAGAACTTAAATTAGCGGGGGTGTCCGGAACCTGAGAGCAGTAGCTCTCCCCTGGGGGACGTTTCACCCCTGGGAGACATGTGGCAGTGTCTAGAGACATTTCTGGTCGTCACGGAAGGTGCTTCTGGCATAGTGGACAGAAGCCAGGGATCCGGCTAAACGTTCCAAGAGGCACAGGACAGCCCCCACAAGGACTGCCCACACGTCAACAGGACTGAGGCGGAGGAGCTCTGCTCTAGAGCTTCACCGAGGCACGCCACACCAGAACCTCTACCTCAGGTCCAGGCTGGCTCTGAGGACTAGTAAGGAGCTCCAGCTGCCTCTAGTCGGCACCTACCCCTCACCTAGCCCCTCGTGCGCTCCCCTCCGCCCGCACCTCTGCTCGGCGGCTAACTCCCAGTCACCTCCTAGCCCCCTTCAAGTTCCTGAAAACCTCCAAACTCCACAGTGGAGTAAGACGTCCCCCCCAGCGTACTCCTGCGGTTACCTTCCTGGGCTGTAACTAACTGTCTGTGGCCTCCCCCGGGCCGTGAACTCCGTGAAGGGAAGAGCCATGTTTAAGGCTCCCCCAAATCCCTAGCCCCTTCCCCGACAAGAGAGCAGGGGAGCACGAAGTGGCTGTGTACGGTCGACCCTGTGCCAGGCCCTCTGCTAGACTCCGAATCACCACCTTTAGCTCTAACAGGCTGTGGAAGTTGCCATCACCCTATTTACAGATGGAAAAGCCAGCTCAGAGAACGCCCACAAGGTCCCAAAGCAAGTGAGAGGAGAGCTGGGTTCAAAGCCAGGGGCAGCACTTTTCAGGACGTGGCCGAGCCTCCCACACTGACCCCTCAGCCAAGTCAGAATCCAGGAGGAAGGGACTGGGAAAGCCTCGGGACTTCACCATTCTAAGGCAAAGATGAAGAGCGTTTTCCTGGTGATGCAATCCCGCTGCTGATCGCTAACAGACCTGCGCTTTAGGAACCTGAAACCTCTCCTCAATACAGGGTGTGCGTGTGTGGAAGGGAGGGGACTCTGCAAGTCACAGACTGCCTCTTGTGGCCCCCCCTTTACACACCGGGCCACTGCCAGACCTCCTGCTGACAGCCCTGAGGACCTGTGATGAGGTGGGAAACCAGTATCCCGTTAGGAGAGCAAATGGCCCTCGTGCGACAGACCCCTTTAAGCACGGAGAGCCCTTCAATGAAGTCAGACACCGAACTGCCTTACACGGCAGGCCACTTGGGAGAGTGTGCCCTGGAAATCCCATCTTAAAGGGCTCGGCCAAGACATCCATCTGGAGCACCACGTAGATCTGAGGAGGAGCCGGGAGCCCACGTGACAAGGGGGTACCTGAGAGGTAGGTGGCCTCTAGATTTCGACGCATAAGGGACCCGAAGTACTGCTCCTGCTGCCACTGACTTCGCAACTGCCCCCTCAGGAGACATGGTGGGCACCACACGGTTCTGCTGCCATTCCCAGATACGGAGGCAGCCTCAGCTGCTCCCCTCAAATGAGACAGAACACTTGCCTCAGGGCACTGAGAGGGCTCCCGGGACCCTGCTTCTCCCCGTGACCGTGGCCTACGGCACTGACCGAAATTCAGAGGTTAAGCTGCTCACAACAAAAGCGCAGTGCCTGCCGATCCTGTACTAGAATTTGGTGGTCAACCAAGCTGCTCGGAACAGCTGCAGTCTAGATCTCCTAAGAGGTTTGGGGGATTACTGAAGTACATCGTTCGATTTACTTGCTTCAGGGCTGGAAGCAGGGAGCTTCCAAGCAAGTTTTCTGCTTCATATCAACAGCAAAGGTGTCGCAGCAGGCAACCTTCTCTGAGGGCCAGGGCACTGAGCTAACTCTCCACAGGTTCTGGGGCTGAAAACAGGCCAAGAGCCTAAGATCTGCTGAACAGCCACAAAGCCTAATACCAGGAAAAGAGACAAGCTTTATTTTGTTTCATATGGTCCTGATTACAGGTAACGCATCTTACAAAGGACCAATGGGCTCTTCTGCAGCCAAGAGGGACTGAATTTTAAGTTTGCTGCACTCTATTCCTGGTCCAACCCCTGATCTGTTCAACTCCAGGGAAGCCACTCCCCCTCCTGGGAATGGAGAACGTGTATCAATTAAATACGCTCAAGGGCCTTCCTCTGTGAGGATCTCCTCTCTTAGAGAAATCCACGAACATGTTCTCTGTTAAAAAGACCAAGGATGGCAAGTTGGAAAGACTTTTAGACGGTAATCCCAACTAATTTTTTTAAAAACACAGACTTGGAAATGGAGGCCCAAAATGGAAGTGACTTGCTCAAATCACGAAGGTAAAGACTCCGAAAACCATCCTTCTAGAAAGATGCCTTTAGATTAGTTCTGGGTCAAGTCTGCGATCTCGTCAAGTCTGCCCACGGGATAGAAAATTCTAGCTCAGCTCCCTGTTTCCTTACTGCCCGCGTTTTAAACGCAGACCCCTTTCCCCGCCCCCCACCCCCGCCCCGCAAACAGAAGCCTGGGTCAGAAGCGGAAAGCGCGGGCTCCTGGGGGCCGCTCCCTCCTCCTAGGCGGTTACCTGAGCACAGTCACGCTCCCCCTGCGCACCGGCAGGGAAAGCACGGGCTCCGACACCCGGATAGGCTTGAACTGGAACTTGCAGCCGAAGCACAGCGCGGAGTCGCTGAAGAAGGACACGGACACGATGGGGCGCTCGAAGATGTGGATGGGGTCCACGTGAGACACGATGCAGCCGCCGGGCTGGTAGTCGTTGATGACGGCGCTGTTGACGAAGCCCTCGGGGATGACGCGGTGCTCCACCAGCTTCTGGATCACCAGCTGGTGCACCCACTCGGGGATCTCGTCCACGTCGCCCGGCGGGTAGAGGCGCTCCTGGCCGGGTCCGCGCTTCTGCAGCTGGGCGCCGTACGTGTAGCCCTCGCCGAAGAAGTACTTGTTGCGCAGCGGGGCCCGGTCCACCGTGTGCTCGTTGTACAGGCCCTTCTCGGCGCGGGACACCACCTCGTCGATGCGGGCCTCGATCTTGGCGCACTCGTCCTGGCTGAACAGGCGCATCTGGCGGATACCGCTCTTCACCTTGCGCGCTTCCTCCTCCTTCTGCAGCTGCTGCTCCTCGAAGTCGCTGCGCTCGGGGTCCGAGTCCTCTGGGTACTTGCGCTTGGCCCCGGGCGCCGCGTAGGGCTCGGCCGCGGCGGCGGCGGCAGCGGCGGCGGCCACTGCGGCGGCGGCCGCGGCCGCGGCCTCCCGACTGCCCGCCTTGTAGTTGTCCCGGGACGTCATGGACTTGAGCTTCTCCCGCAGGTCCGTGTAGCCGCTGGCGGCCGCCATGGTCCACGCCGCTGCTCTAGGGCCCTCCGCGGCGGGCGGGGCGGCCGGGCATGGCTCTGGGGGACGCGCCCGGGCCCCGGGCCGCAGAGGCCCTCAGCGCCAGGCCCGCGAGCGAGGCCGCGCCGCCCAGCAGGGGCGTCGAGGGGCGGCGGGTCGGCCTCAGGGGCGGCGAGTCATGCGGCGACGGCGACGAGGCTCCCTCCTCCTCCGCCTTCTCCGCGTCCCGGGGGGCAGGGGCGCCGGCAGGGCCTCATGCCGCGCAGGGCGGCCGCGGAGGCTCGGCCCGACTCCTGGCCGGACCCTCGGACGCCCGGCTCGGCCCGCACTTTAAAGCGCTCCTCACGACGTCACGGCCACCCGCCCGACGTCCGCCAGCGCCTCTCCTCAGCGGGCGGCTCCGCGCGCAGGCGCAGTACGACCGGCCACGGCGGCTCCGCGTGCAGCGAGCATGCGCGCGCGTGCGGCCGGGTCAGCAGAGGGGCCGGCGCACGCGCAGACGGGGGCCGTCCACCGCCCCTCCCCCACCCACTGAAGGGCTCCGCGAACGCCCCAAACTGCAGCCTGCCTCCTGTCCGCGCCTCCCCCGCGGCCGTAGGGCTCCCTCCACGGGGGTGCGCTCACGCCGTCAACGCTGTCGCCACGCTACGTCACGACATCGTCCGAACGCCCGAAATCGCCTCAGCCCCCAGCGCGCAATCACCGGGGAACCGACACAACCCAGCCTGCCCGGTCACCGCCCCCTTGGCGCTTCCACTTCTGTCACTGGGCCACCGCCCACGCGCCGGGCAGGCCCAGACGGCAGCTTCCGGAATCCGGTTGGCGCGCATGCCTGTCAATCCGGCGGTCGCCTTGGCTACTGCGTCCGTCCCCTAATTAGCGGCGGGCGGGCCGCGAGGACCCCTGAAGGGTGACCGGGTGGCTAAGGGAGTGCCTGAGTGGAGACCAGATCGCAGCGAAGCGCTCAGGGCGCAAGGATACGCTCAGGTTGCGGCGCCGAGAGCCCCGGCCCAGCCCCCGGCCCGACGGCTGCTGCCACAGACACCGCCCCCTCGCCGCCGCCCGGCGTGTACGTTGCCCTAGTCACGTCCCGGCGGCGGCGCGTGCGCGGCCCTCCTGGGCCGGGCGCTCCCGGGACGGCGGGGTGCTGGGGACGGCAGCGCGGGCTGCGGTCCTCGGAGTCACTGCCCTCCCGGGCGCCCAGGCCTTTGTTCAGACCCTCCCGGCCCCTGACGGCGGGGCATGCACGCGTGGTCACGCTCCTTGGTCCCTGTCCCTCCCACCCGTTCCTTAACTGTGGTTTTTGGAGGCTCGGCTCACCCCTCTAGCAGCCTCCCCAGATTCTCACTGGGATGAAATGCATCTTGGGTTTCGTGGCCTCGCCACCCTGACCGTTGTGCCCCCAGCCCCTGCGCCCTCTCCACCCACCGCCCCCGGCTGGTCGGAGCTTGAGCTCCAGACCCTGCTACCCAACAGACGTGGGTTTGGACCTTGACCTCCTGACGGGCTGTAGGACCCCGGACAAGCTCTGTAAAACGGGAATGAAATCAGTTCCCATGTGCGGTGGGTGTGAAGATGAGATGAAGTCCTGCATCCTGTACGTTAAGCAGAGAGGACCACTGGCCTCGAGTGTGGGCCTGTTTCCACGTCCTAAATTAGGGGACTACCGGTCCCTGGTGGGAAGTGGGGTCTGTCACGGGGCCACAGAAAGTCCAGGCCAGCAGGGCCTGTGGTATGGGGAAGCCTGGACACCTGGGACCCTGGCCCTGACCCTCCCTTCCAAGCAGCAGCAGGTGCAGGGGAAACGGGGCAGGCGTGAACCCGTAGGGAATCGGCTCCTGCCCTTTCCTGACCCAGCCTGGTGGGCACCGCTGGTGGTGGCGGCAGGAAGGCAGCTGCAGGTGGTGAGAAGGTGGCCAGTGGGCAAAGCCAAGGTCAGGCGGCTGGGCTTGGGCCCCAGTCCTGCCTGGGCCATTCTATGTGAACGCCCGGGCCGGGCCCCGTTGCCTGCATATTGGCAGTTTGGCTACGAGAGCTCAGGCCCTTCAGAAGCCCAGCGCCCACCTCTCAACGGCCCTCCAACCGGGGGCATCGGACTCTGCACGCACACCTGGTGGCAGGGAGCTCACTACCTCATTCATCAGAAAGTCCTGCCAGAGACCCCTGTGCTCCGCTCACCAGGCAAACATGGGAGTCACCTCTCCAGGGCCCCCAGACACCCCCTCGGAGGCTTCCCCATGCTCTGCAGCCAGGGCCCTCCCCTCTCCCATCCGAGCCTCAGAGGGACACAGCTCGACTCTGGAGCCTGCCTGCCTGCCTTTGACTCTCGGCCAGGCCAGTTAGTGGTTACTTGCTTCACCTCTGCCTCACTTTCCCCACGAAGACAGGACGTGACTGTCTCATGCTACCATGCCTCCCAGATATGTCTCCTGTGTTCTCACCCCATGCCAGGCCGGGCACCCTGGGGCTTGGTTCCCTCTGCTCTGGCTCTCCCCACGTCCACCTGGAGTTCCTGTCTTTCTGGGTCTGGGGGCCACAGCAAGGTCTGATTCTCCTGCCACCCGAGTCTTCCCACTCTGCCTCCTGGGGATCGTTACCTCTGACGAGGGCTCGACCTGCTGGTGCCACCACTGAGGCGCCAGAACAGCTGTTAAAACATGAGCCTATGCCTTAAGGCCCAGGTCCTGAAATCCCGAAGTCCTGCTGTTCAGTTATCCAATGCTGTGTAACAAACCTCCCAAAACTCAGACCTCAGACACCATCCAGCTCAGGAGTCTGCATCGTGGCCAGGGTTGGGCCAGGAGGTTCCTCCCGGTTCCATGCGCTTCAGCTGGGGCCTCACTCACACAGCCCACTTGCATTCTGAAACCCAAAAGTCCTCTCACCTGGGCAGAGCCTCTAACTGGGAGAAACTCCCGGTGCCTGGCATTTGCCTAGTACACAGTAGGTGCTTAATAGGTACTGAATAAGTAAGTAAACCCCTCCTCAGACACCTTGGCTCCAGCCAATTATGCCCCCACACACCTATCCAGCCCTCCTCTCCCAAGCCTCCCCTCCCCCACAAGTTCCCCAAAGCACTAGCACTTCCGATCAACATTCATTCATTTATTCTTCCATTCATGCGACAAGTATTTTTTAAGCACCTACTCTGCGTTAGGCATTGTCCTAGGCTTTGGGGGAAAGAGTAGGGAACAAACACTGTTTTCTCTGTTTATAATGTTCATTCCCCTTCCCTCCATCTATTCCTATAGCAAACTCCTACTCATGGTTCAAAACCCAACCCAAACATCCCATTCCCTGGGAAGCCCTTTCCCAGCCTTCTCCCTCCCCAGCCGCTGACATGAAACATCTCTCTCCCTCTACTATACCATTCTCAAATATTGTGTGGCCCACCCAGTGACGGGGTCCTGGGGTTAGGGCTACCCAAGGAGTGTGGGGTAGAGGGGCAGGGGCCCGCAGGGAGAGGTAAGGACAGATGTCTCTGCTGGAGGCCCAGGTCCCCCTGAACAGAGCTGGCTCTGTTTTTTTTTTTTTTTTAATGCAATTTATATAACTTTATAATTTTAACATAATTTCAAACTTACAGAAGTCGCAAAAGCAGAACAAAAAATTCCTACACACCTTTACCCAAATTGGCTACTTATTAACGTTTTGCCCTTTTGCTTCATCACCAGTGTAATTTTATAAACACGATAATGCAGAATAAAATGATTTCATAGCAATTATAATTAATCAGTATTTTTTGAACCTCCTGGCTCCTCCCTCAGACTCATTTTCCAGTCACTCAACAACCATATGGAGAACAGGCTGCCAGGCGTACCTTTTATTTGCACAGAAATGACCAAGAGTCAGGAACCCAAGCTCAGCAGCAGTGCAGGGGCACCTGACGGGGGGACATGTGAGGGGCCGGGGCAGGGACATGGAGCAGATTTGAACATCAGACCCCAAGGAAAGCAAACGCAGGTTCAGTTGGTCTAGGCTACTGGTGTGGGGCTTCCCTGCCGCAGGGGGAGTCGGAGCAGGGCCACAGCGGTAGGTGGCAGGAGGCCCCACTAGTCAGTCTTTGGAAGTCCCTCCTGCCATCTGACCCAAGTTTGCACACTGCAACTCCATCCCAACGCTGGATCAGTCTTCTCAGGTTCCTGGGGGCTTGCGCCACGCCACCTACTGCCTCTTGGTCTCCCCTAAGGTTCCCAGTAACTCCCCTGGGACCACACAGCAAGCCTCCTGGCACAGGGCAGCTGGGGGCTGGGGGCTGGGTCAGAGCAGTGTGATCTCGCTGGGGGGCAGCGTGAGCCGCTTCTCACGGGCACTGAGCAGGTTCTCCACGTGCACGGCCACCACGCGACACAGCTCCAGGCCCTGCAGGAGAGACGGTGAAAGGCCCAACACTTCCCAGCTCTCACCTGGGGTGAGATGTGGCCGGGAGAGGGGAGAGAGATGGAGGCCAGCCTCCTGCGGGACTAGTGGGCCCCACCCTCATCCCCACCTCCCCAGGGCCCTGGGTGGCCCACGAGCAGCTAAGAGGAGGAATGCCAGGCTGCAGGTGGGAAGGGGTGAGCCGGGAGGAGAGCAGTGCCCCTGCCAGCTCTGCTGCATGTGGCCTGTGTGACCTGAAACCAGTTACTGCACCTCTCTGAGCCTCAGTGGTCTCACCCCTGGGGGCTCGGTTTACCAGGGCCTGCCTCTCGGAGCCATGGGGAGGATGCTATGAGATTTTACTACACGTGAATCCTCTAGACTTGAAACCTATCAGCCCCATCAATAAATGGTTTCTAACCACGTGCTGCTGCCCTGGTTACCACCTGGCGCCCACAGCCTAGAATGAGCTGTGACCCAGCCTCAGGGCTCCCACCTGCTGGGGGCGGGGCAGGCAGCGGGGACTGTGGAAAATTGGTCTCTCAGACCACAGCCAGTGCCGGAATCTCCCCAGGCGCTTCCTGGGGGCTGGGAAGCTGCCCAGAGGGGGGGTAAAAATAAGGAGGACAGCACTTACTGGGTGGCAACTGAGGACCAGGCACTGTCCCAAGAGCCCCCCATGTCCCACCCCTCCCAGTCCCTGCAGTGTCCCTATGAGTCAGACATTCTTAGAGCCCATTCCACAGGTGAGGAAACTGAGGCCAGAGCCCTGAAGCCAGTTGCCCCAGACCTCACAGCTGGGGATGGTGGGACTTGAACCCAAGGCCACACCCTGGGGGCCACCTCGGCTAATGAGATCAGAGTGGGCTCCTCCCCACCCGCCATCCTCCCACCCACAGGCTGCAGCGCTCCAGGCCTCACTGGGAATGCTGCCCCACTTGGCAGGTGTGGAAACTGGGGCTCAATAAGAAGCTGGGTTGCTTCCAGATGCCCTCACACAGCCTGTCAGAGGTAGGCGGGATCACTGCTGCACTCAGACATCACCTGCTCCTGGAAGCCCTCGCTGATTACCTCCTGGATAGCACGGGTACACCCTCCCCACACTGATCACGGTTTATTAGAGAGGCTTTGATGTCTGTCACACCCCTGAGACCTGGGGCTCTGTGGGGGCCAGGGCTGGAGGGTCTGCTCAGTATCTCTGCAGCTAAGTGCAGAACCTGCTGCGTAGAGATGCTCACTGGTTATACATTGAAAGAATGAATGATTAATAAATGTGTCCTCTACACATGCATGACAGAGGCAGAGCAGAGGTGGCAACGCAAAGAGGTCGCGGGTGGGGAGGGCACCGGGAGCAAGCGGAGAAGCCGGAGAGGCCTCCTCCTCCACCCACTCACTTCCTGAGCACCCGCTACAGCGGGGCTGTGCTAGGGACATCGTGGGGACAAGCTGGACACAGCCCTGCCCTGCCCCGCCCTCTCGGGGCTGACATTCTAGTGGGGAGACAGACAATCTGGGAACAAATAACTAAGTGATTTCCAAGCCATATGAGGGCTGCTGAGGCGGAGAGAGTGAACTATCGGGGAGGAGGGTCAGGGTAGGCTTCTAGAAGGAGGTGACGTTTGTGCTGAAACCCGAACAAAGGGAGGGAGGGAGCCCCGTGGCGCAGGCAAGCGTGTCCCAGGTAGAGAGAGGGGACAGTGAGTGTAGTGGGTCGGGGGCGGGGAGGGGGGCAGGTAAGCAGAGGGGAGGGATGAGAGCAGAGGCCATGGAGGTAATCAGAGGAGGGGGCAAGGACGGGAAGGGCTGCTGGGTTGGGGGCCCAAGGGCCTGCAAGGGTGAGAGGTGAGGGCAGAGGCCTGTTGGTCTCCAAGGGCAATGTTGAGGGGGTCAGGGCAGGAGAGAGAAATAAGGGGCTGTCTCAGCAGAGCTGGCTTTGGAAGCCTCATGGTCAGAGGGGTGCCGGGGTTGGGGAGGGGGAACCGGACTCAGCACCAGTTAGAAGTCGTCCAGGGGAGGGCTCTCCAGAAAAGGGGCCCAAGGGGCAACGGACGGGCAGGCCCGAGGAGGTGGGTTTGCTGTGGTGGGAGCTCAGACTGGGGGTTCTGGGAAGCAGGCTGAGCCACAGATAAGGCCAGGGTGGGGGTGACCTCAGCAGGAGCAGGACTGGGGAGCAGTGGGAAGCACACTGATCCCGGGGCGGGGGGCTCCTCCTTTAGAGGCAGGGCTGGGGCAGTGGGAGCCCCTGTCTCGTGCCCTGGGATAGCAGCCCCACCAAGGCAGGCCGTGCCGTGAGAAGTGGTCCTGGGCCCACATCCTGAGTGGGTGCGGTGGGCCCAGACGTGTGGGCCCAGCCCCGATTCTACCCCTGCTCTGGACCTCAGTCCCCTCTCTCCAGTGGGCTGAGAACTCTGGTCCTGCCCCATCCCTGGGCACTGCGAGACTTGGACTTGACTGACCTAGAGGTCAGCCACAGCTTTTAAGGAGCCGCCACAGTTGCTGCAAATAGGAGAAAGGTCCAGGGCAGCTGGGCCTTGGCCTCCCTGTCACATGGGAACCCCACTCTCCACCCCTCAACCTCAACAATCCATCCTCCGAGCCTCAGCCCAGGTGAACGTCCTCAAACTGCCTGGGTCCTGCCCTCCCACCAACCTTCTATGGCTCCCGAGTGCCCTCAGGAGGAAGCCCCAGATTCTTAGCTTTATATTCAAGGACCCTTAAGACCTGCCCTTCCCTGGCTGTGTCTCCCCAATTCCCCATCAAACTCCTCACTGTTCTAAAAACAACCTGGGCCCGCCCTTTCCCATGATCCCACCATCAAGATGCTTCTCTGGTAGACCACCCTCATGACCCACAGTTCTGTGAGGTGTTGGGTTAGCTCTGTCCCCTGCACTGGGCTGGATGTTCCCTGGGACATGGCTAGGACCTGACCCATCTTGGAGCCAGACCCAGAGAAAAGCCTGGCGAGCGGAATGAGGGAGTGGGGGTCCGGGTGACAAGCCGGGCTGCCAGGCGGGGCCCACCTGCTCCAGCTGCAGCTGCATGGTGCGCTGGGTTGCCACATCCCCCAGTGCGATCTCCACGTACGGGTAGCTGGAGCTGGCCGTGGGCCGCTGGGTCCTCGTCGACTGGATCTCCTTCAGGGAGAACTTCACCATCAGCTCCTGGGGGAAATGGGGGCAGACAGGTTTGGGGGTGCGACAGTCTCACCCAGCCTTACCCCACCGCTGGAGGTCAGATCCGTAGGTGGCGTGACAGCTCAGCTCGGTTTGAGTACTAGTTCCCCAGTGACTTGCTGTGTGACCCGGAGCAAGCTACTTTACCTCTCTGGACCTCAGTTTCTCACCTGTGAAATTATTTCAACAAATACTGATGCACGCATGTGCGGCGTGCCAGGCACTGCTCTAAATGCTTGCAATCTAGGGATGCAGGAAATGCCTTCACATCAAGGCTGCTTCTTCACACCCACCCCTCTTGGTCTGGAGCTTTCTTTCCGGCCCCAGGAGCAAAAGCTTCCCACACAGGGATAGCCAGAGTGATGAGAGTCAGCACCCCATCACGAACAACAGGCCACAGCAGACAGACAACCCAGCTCCCCGACCCGCACGATGGGGGGCATCCTCTGAGGGCCGTGTTCCCCGCTGGACCGAGCGCCAGTCCCCACCGCAGGAACCTGCTTGCTAACACGCTCCTCCCCAGGTGTATCCCCCAGGGTACGACCCTCCTCCTGGTCTCACTTCCTCGCTCCAGTGTTTCCACGTAAGCTACTTGCCCTGGAGCCCTCATCTCAGGGCCCACTCCCGGGGGAAGAACTAAGAATAGGGGTAGCAGATCCTTTTTGTCCTGGACTGAATTGTGTCCCTCAAATCCATATGCTGAAGCCCTGACCCAGCACCTCAGAATCTGGAGACAGACCTTTGAAGAGGGAAGGTTAGGGTGGGCTCCCATCCCACGGGACCACTGTCCTTATGAGAAGAGGCAATTGGGACACACAGACCCCAGGGATGTGCACAGAGAAAGGGCCATGTGAGGAAACGGGCAGGACGGCCATCTACAAGCAAGGAGAGAGGCCTCAGAGGAAACCAACCCTGCGGGCACCTTGATCTTAGATGTCCACCGCCCAGAACCACCAGGAAAACAATTTCTGTTGCTGAAGCCCCGCCAGCCCCGCCCCGTCAGCCCCAGCAGACCAACACAGGCTTTGAGCGCTGGCCTGTGTTTCACCTCCTTTCACCTTGACAACAGCCCTGCATCCCAGGTGAGGCAGTGAGGCTCGCACAGGCAAGGAGCCCCGCCCAAGGTCACGCAGGTGTAAGCAGTGGAGCTGGACTTCCCACCCCCGGGGGGGGGGGCGGGGCTGGGCTGAGGCCACTCACGTGGGTCTCGGTGCTGAGGAAGTTAAGGCCATTCTGGTTGACCGCAAGGATGCAGGGGGCGGGCACCGCGCCGTTGCTGCAGCTCTGGACGAAGAAGAAGGAGGAGCCGAACATGGGCGAGGCGCTGAGGAGGCCTGGGGCGGGGGAGGGGCGGGCAGGTGATGCAGGCACCTCAGTGCCGCCCCCCCACCTGCTCGGGCGGCCCCTCCCACCGGTCCAGCTGCCGGCCTCAGGCCCCCCTCCTTCCCTGCCGGGGCCCCCAGCCTAGGCGGGGCCCCGGTGAGGACTTCCGAAAGCTGGCACCAAAAATGCCTCTGTACAAAGGCAAAGGTGCCTCCACCCCGCCCTCCTCAACCAGGCCCCCACGGTTCCCTCCCCAGCCCGGACTCCTTCTCACCCAGAAACTGGGCGCGAGCCTGGTGGGGGCTGAGCGCCTGCATCTGCTGCTGGTGCTGGCCGAGCAGGCTGAGCCACGCCGCGGCGGCCACAGTGCGGTAGAGCTGGGCCGGGATGTACTCCTGGGCCTCGCGCCTGGCGTGCAGGGAAAGGTCGCTCTGAGTGCTGCCAGGCTTTAAACCTCCTGGACCCCCACTCACTGCGGAGTGAGGCTGACTCAGTGCCTGGGCACACAGCAGGTGCTCAATAACCGCTGGCCAGTACCACCAGGCTCCCCGTTTGCAGAGGAGGGAACAGAGAAGTTTACCAGCCAGTCCAAGGTCACACAGTGACCGGTCCGGGCCGAGGCTTGAACCCAAGGTGGGTTCGTCCTTTGTAGCCCCCGCCCCAGGGAGAAGCCCAGGCCAAAGGGGTGAGAAGCACACGCTGAGGGAAGTATCAGGGCAGCAAAGCAACCACCAGTGGCTGGTCAGAGCCGGAGGGCACAGAGCACTGGGCCCACCAGGCCAGGCCTCCCCCTGACACATGCTGGATGGGCAGCCCTGTGTCTCAGGACACCTGAAAAAAAGCAACAAATACCGGTCCCGGCTGCCATGGGCTGCACACTGGGGAAGGGGGAACGTCAGGGGAACCCCCCAAAAGACCCTCCAGGCAATATCTTTCCTCTCTGCTCTGCTGGGTAAGAGCCTGGCATGTGACCCAGTCTCCCCAGGTCTGGATCCTGGTCCTACCACCTATTAGCTGGGGAAGCCATATCCCCTCTCTGGGCCTCGGTTTCCTCATCTGTAAAAGGGGTAAAGAAAGTGCGGTTGGGGACTTCCCTGGTGGTGCAGTGGTTAAGAATACACCTGCCAATGCAAGGGACACGGGTTCGAGCCCTGCTCCGGGAAGATCCCATATGCCGCGGAGCAACTAAGCCCGTGCACCACAACTACTGAGCCTGCATGCTACAACTACGGAAGCCCGTGCGCCTAGAGCCCGTGCTCCGCAACAAGAGAAGCCACCGCAACGAGAAGCCCGCGCACCGCAACGAAGAGTAGCCCCCGCGCACCGCAACGAAGAGTAGCCCCCGCTCGCCGCCGCCAGAGAAAGCCCGCGCGCAGCAACAAAGACCCAACGCAGCCAAAAATAAATAAATAAATAAATAAATTTATTTTAAAAATTAAAAAGTGCGGTTGGGGAGATTAGCTGAGACAATGTGTGCAGAGTGCCTTGCAAAGAGTAGGAAGGCCACAACTGTCTTTCTCCAGGGCTGGGATGATACCTTTCTGTGCTTCCTGCACTTTCCCCTTAAAATGACAGCACGGAAAGAGAGTTGGGTGCTGAGCCCTTACAGTGTGCTGGGCACCGGGACATCCTCTGTCCACACTCCACTGCCTTCCCTACGCTGGTTCACACCAGAGGCTCTCATAGTGTGGCCGAGGGTCTGGGAGGGCAACGCCACTTCCTTAAGAACCTAAGCGGTCATCTGCTCTCCCCTCTCGTTCCCTCACAAGTGCATGGTGGAGTCCGCCAGAGGCTACGTGACACGTGAGATCACAACAGACTGACAGAGAGGCAGAGACAGGCACCAGCTGCCGTCTGTCACGCCAAATGGTACAGAGATTTGCAGAATGTCAAATAGTGCCGCTCTTCTCACTGGAGTTTTTGGGAAAATACACTTGTGTTTTCATAACTTATTTATATTAATGTGTAATGTTACCTTCCACTATTTGTATTATAATTATCCCATATACGCCTTTATATTAACACGGGGTGTCCTATTTTTAATTACTTACTAAGTCAATATTTTAAATCGTTTCTCAGTTTTAATTTTGAATAGTGTAAATATATGAATAGATACAACACACAGAAACAAAAGCCCTTTGGGGTCTTATTTTTAAGAGAGTAGGGGACTTCCCTGGTGGTGCAGTGGTTAAGAATCCACCTGCCAATGCAGGGGACACGGGTTCAAGCCCTGGTCCAGGAAGATCCCACATGCCGCGGAGCAACTAAGCCCGTGCACCACAACTACTGAGCCTGCGTGCTACAACTACTGAAGCCCGTGCGCCTAGAGCCCGTGCTCCGCAACAAGAGAAGCCACCGCAATGAGAAGCCCAGGCACCGCAACGAAGAGTAGCCCCTGCTCGCCGCAACTAGAGAAAGCCCGTGCGCAGCAACAAAAGACCCAATAGGGCTTCCCTGGTGGCGCAGTGGTTGAGAATCTGCCTGCTAATGCAAGGGACACGGGTTCGAGCCCTGGTCTGGGAAGATCCCACATGCCGCAGAGCAACTAGGCCCATGAGCCACAACTACTGAGCCTGCGTGTCTGGAGCCTGTGCTCCGCAACAAGAGAGGCCGCGATAGTGAGAGGCCCACGCATTGCGATGAAGAGTGGCCCCCGCTTCCCACAACTAGAGAAAGCTCTCACACAGAAACTAAGACCCAACACAGACAAAAATAAATTAATTAATTAATTAAGGAGCCAGATTTAAAAAAAAAACCCAATGCAGCCATAAATTAATTAATTACTTTGTTAAAAAAAAAAAAAAAAAGAGTAAAAAGGCCCGAAGATGGAGAACCTGGGATGACTGATGTCTTGCCTCTTCGAAAACATCAGTTTAAAGGCTGCCTGACGCCCACAATTTGTTTTTTAATATTTATTTATTATTTAGGCTGCAGTGGGACTTAGTTGTGCCACACAGGATCTTTTAATTTTTTTAATTTTATTTTTTTAATTAATTAATTTATTTTTGGCCGTGTTGGGTCTTCGTTGCTGTGCACGGGCTTTCTCTAGTTGCAGCGAGCGGAGGCTACTCTTGGTTGCGGTGCGTGGGCTTCTCATTGCGGTGGCTTCTCTTGTTGTGGAGCAGGGCCTCTAGGCGCGTGGGCTTCAGTAGTTGTGGCACACGGGCTCAGTAGTTGTGGCTTGCGGGCTCTGGAGTGCAGGCTCAGCAGTTGTGGCGCACGGGCTTAGTTGCTCCACGGCACGTGGGATCTTCCCGGACCAGGGCTTGAACCCGTGACCCCTGCATTGGCAGGCGGATTCTTAACCACTGCACCACCAGGGAAGTCCCTCCACAATTTTTTTAAGGAATTCCCTGTCGTCGGAGAACGTTGAACGGTGAACGTTTCCATGGCCAAATCTTTCTGCGGGGCCATGTGTATTTCCTGGACCACAGGGTGTGTGTCCTGAAAGCTTTTTATCACTCAGTTTGCTCTGAGCTATTACTACTAGCTGCAAGCGACCTGTCGTGCCCGGAGGTGGGGTCCCAGCTGGACAGGCTGGGCTGGGTGGGTGCTCACGTGCTGGGCAGGTAGAAGTGGTCCTTGGCTCGGTGCTGCAGCGCGGCCAGCTTGGACACCTGCTGCAGCTGCTGCTCGCCGGGCTGGCCGACCGGCATGCTGCTGAACAGGCCCTTCAGGTAGTCGGGCAGCACCTGCGGGGGACGGGGTGATGCAGGTGAGGGTCCGCGGGCGGCCAGGCACTGGGCAGGCAACTGGGGAGGCACAGACACAGACGCTGAGTGGTTCCAGCCCCACTCGCTTCCGGGGGAGGGTGGCCTGTCACTTCCCTGGGCTTCTGGGAGGAGTGACACATGATGGTGAGCTGGGAGGGCGTGGCCGGGAAGCCACAGGACCCCGGGAAGCATTGGCACCCGGCTGCAGCATGCAGGACCTGGGGTCCCATTTCCACAAGTCCTCAGGCTGCCGCTGGCTGACCCGCAGGCACAAGAGCCCAGTGGCCGGATTTGGACTCGGAACGGCCGCAGCTTCAGCACCAGCTCCAGAGAACCACGCGCTCTCTGTCCAAGCACATCCGCAAGTGTCGGCACAAGAGGAAGAACCAGGCTTTGTTAACCCCACGACCCTGACTTAGACGACCAAGAGGGGCAGCACCACGAAAATGACAAGGCCAGGCAAAGCCTTTCAGCGAGGGACAGGCCAAGTGCTCAGCGCGGGAGGAGAGCCAGAGGAAGGAGGACGGAGTGGCCTCCTGCAGCGGTGCCATCTGGGCAGCCTCGCCGGAAGACTCAGAAAGCAGAGCCCGCAGGGAGCAGACGCCTCGGGGCCCGAATCATGAAGGCCTCAAACGCCAAGGCCCGGGGGAGCCCGGAAAGTTCCAGAGCCTCAGAGCGGCCCGTGCGCTGACCTGGTTGTAGTGCATGGTCACATAAAGCTCATTCTCGAACTTCAGCGGCTGATCCCAGAGCACGCGCCGGAACCACAGCGTGTAGCCACCATCCACCTGCTCCATCTCCGAGGCCACGTCCAGGATGTAGGCGCGGCGGCTGAGCGGGCACACATGCTGGCCTGTGGGGAGCCGGGGGGCAGCTGGCTGGGGTACGAGTGGCAAGCCCCCTCCCCGCTCTGGGACACTGCATCCTCAGTAGAGAAGAGCACGTTTATGGGACAGGGTGCCTGTGTCTGTGCAGGTTGTAACCGCAAACTACAGCCTGCCTAGTTCTAGGGAAGTGCCCTGCGTGGTGCTCAGAGAAAGCCTAGCCCCTTTCCAGAGGAGGGCTGGGGACAAGGAGGGGCACACGAGGCCTCAGGTCAGGAGGGCCAGTGGATGCCTTTCTGCAGAGCTCCTTCAGGGGAGAACCCCCTGCCGGTCTCCTGGGGCGGGTGGGGAGGACGGTGGGGTCTGGCACTGAGCGGGTCTCAGCCTGTACGAGAGGCTTAAGTTTTCATTTCCTGAACTGACATTTCTGCTTCCATCCCACACCTTCGGTAAAATTTTACCAAAGGGGGGGGCGGGGTGGCACGATGATAAAGTCCAGACTCTCGAGGCCAGACAGTCTGGGTTCAAATCCCAACTGTGTGACCTTGGATAAGTCCTTTAATCTCTTCGGCAGGCTGAATAACAGCCTGACCCCAAAGATGTCCCCGTTCTATTCCCCGCCACCTGTGCATATGTACCTTCATGGCAAAGGGCACTTTGAAATGTGATTAAGGATCTTGAGATGGGGAGATTATCGTGGGTACCCAAGTGGACCCAGTGTAGTCTCAAGGGTCCTTAAAGAAGGAGAGACTGGAAGATGCTACGCTGCTGGCTTTGAAGATGAGGGAAGGGGCCGTGAGGCAAGGAATGTGGGCGCCTCTAGAAGCAGAAAAGGCTGGGAAAGAGACTCTTTCCCAGAGTCTCCAGAAGGAGTTAGCCCTAAGGACACTCTGGTTTCAGGACTTCTGACCTTCAAACCATATGATAATAAACCTGTGTTGTTTTAACCCAATGAGTATGTGCTGATTTGTTATGGCGGCAACAGGAGACTAATACAGTCTCCCTGGGCCTCAGTTTTCCCATCTGTAAATGGGAACAATAACCGTCTCATTTCATATGGTTGTGGTGGGGATTAAAGCAGTTTATAGGATGACATGCTCTCAGCAGTGCCTGCGACATAGCCTCTGCTCCATAAATTCAGTTTTGGGGATCATTTTGTTACTGCCTTCCCCTCCCCGTGTCTTGGCTGGACTCCGGGCAAGCAGGGCTGAGGATACATGGTTCGGAGCCGAGGCAGCAGCGGGAGAGCTGGTTGGAGGTGGATGGAACTGACAGGCTGGTGGCAGGAAGCAAGGCCACAGCCTACAGCAGGTGGGCTGCAGAGGGAAGGGGTTCGGCTGAACTGAGAAGGGCCAGGTGAGACCAAGGGTGGGGGCCCTTACGGCCACTATTAAGGCGTTAAGAGACAGGAAAAAGTACTTGCACTTGTGCGTCCAGGAGTCGCATCCTATCAAGTCTCATCCTCCTTGAGGGCAGGGCCCACTGAGTGGCCCGAGGGGCAGAGGGAGGCATCAGGGGAGCCCTGTCTTCCAGGAACTCGCGATCTGACGGGCCAGGCAAGCTCACACAGAACGAAGCAGAGAGGGGCAGACGTGGGGCTGCAGGGGCTCGGGGCAGAGAGGTCCCTCTACCTGGGCCTAGGGGCTTCCTGGAGGAAGTGGCATCTGACCTGGGCCTTACAGTGGGGGTGGTGGGCGTGGGCCCAGCATGCCGCACCCTCTGGCCTCTGGCCACTCACCTCGGTTGGTGACAACAAAGATGACGTACTCATCAAAGGCCTCGGGGCGGGTCAGAGCCATCTCAGCACAGATCTCCTCCACCACGTCCAGGGCCACCTGCGGCGAGGGAAGCGTGAGGCTGCACTGGCCTGGCGACCTCTGCCCCCGAGGCCACCCAGACCACCTGCGCAGAGGCGAGGATCCCCGAGGTCCCTGGGAGCCAGCCGCATGCAGGAAAGGGCACAGCTTTTGGAGTCTGAGAGACTCGGGTTCCGAGTTGGCCTGTCTCTTATTTGCAGTTTGATCCTGAGCTGGAGGTCCCACCTCCCCCAGGCTCAGGCTGCTCCTCTGAGAGATAAATCCTGCCTAGTGGGGGAGCCTGGGGGGCTCAGCACCCTTGGGGGCCCACCCAGGAGGCTGGGGTCCCTGCCCGACGGAGACATCCCGTCACTTACGGTGCACGTTTTGATCTTGAGATGGCGCTCAAGGCCTCCGGGGAGAAGAAAGAGCTGCCTCTTGGAACTGCGGCCGGCCTGGGGTGAGGAGACTGGGGAGGTGGGAAAGGCCGGGCCAGGGCTCTGGGCCAGCTGCTGTCCCCTCCGTGGGGGTCCCCGACAGGGACCGGGCAGGGCCGGCGAGTGCGCGTGACAGGGTCTCTGGGCCGGGCTGTCTCACTCACCCCAACGCCCCAATGCTCACCAACATAGCCCGAAGCTCCATGCTGCTGGGGAGCTCCAGACGGCCACCGAAGCGCAGCGTCCTCTGCAGGTTCTGCTCACAGGCCTTGGCGATCCCTGCAGAAACAGGAGTCAGGGCCCGGCCCAGGGTGGGCAGGGGAGAAAGGGGCTCCTCTGGCCCCAGCCCTGAGTCCAAGGGGGGGCGGGTAGAAGGGTGGGGCCGTGTGTCTGCTCTCCCTTCAGCGGCTGAGGAGACAGTTCAGAGGGCAGTGATTTACCCAAGGTCAAGAGCCAGAGTGTAAGAGCTGGACCTGAACCCCATCCCACGCAGTGGAGGCCCGCACGCCTTGCTTATCCATGAGCCCCGCAGGCAGCTGGTGACTCGGGGCTTGTCCCCCGCAGGCTGTGTGTGGCTAAGATGACGCAGCTGTGCGCAGCACCCCAGTGCAGAAGCCCCACCATCTGCTTCCCCATCTCTCTGGGCTAAGCAGTGCCCTCGCCCTGCTCTGGGGAGGGGTCAAGAGGGCTGGGCCCACTCTGCCACCTTCCCTGGAGCTGAGTCTCTTCACCTCTGAGTCCAGGGAAGTCTGCGGCCTGAGTCAAAGAGGAGTCTTCAGAAACAAAGAGAGTGAGGTCCCCGTCTCCTTCACGGCCGCCGTGGTAACCACAGGGGCCCCGGCCTCTCTCTTAGGGGGACCCAGGGGTTGCTCTGGAAGCTAGGCTGGGGCTGAGGCTGAGGAGTGGCCCCTTTCCTCCAAAATCCAAGGGGAAAAGGCCAAGACCCTGCCACCAGCCTTGGCGCCCCTGCCTGAACCCTCTCAAGACCCCTGTTGATTCCCAAAGACCAGAGAAACAGGGCCCTGCCGCCTCCTCCGCCTCCACTCCCACATGCCACACATCCTCCTCTCCGGGCCTTCACCCCTGCTGCTCAGCCTACCTAGAAATCCCTCCCATGTGCTCACGACCCAGAGCAACACTTCCTCTGGGAAGCCTTCCCTGATACGCCATCCTCCCCCCCATCAGATCAGACAACCCATCGCATCAGCCCCTGCGGGACCTCCACAAACGTTTGGGGATGGACTGATGTTAGTAAACATTGCCCGGGCACCTGTGAAGGGCCAGGCCCTTCGGCCAGCTGTCCGGCCGGTCCTCACGCAGACAAGCCCTTGGCCCTGACTCCCCGCCCGCTGGCCCCTCACCCTGGAAGGGCAGGCCTGGGGTCCGGCCCACGTCTTGGAGGAAGCGAACGAGGTGTGGCTGGAGGACTTCGGAGCAGCTGCGGTAGGCAGCCACGATGTACAGCAGCCTCCAGCCTCGCTGGCAGCTGTCCCTGCAAGGACACACATGGGGCTACGTTGCAGGCGGCCGCTGCACTACGGTGCCACGCCAGGAGTCTCTCCCACTCTCAGGCGGCTCATCTCTGAGGAGGCTCCTCCTCCCTGCCCAGTGAGAGCAGGGCCGGCGGGCCCAGAGCCGTGCAGAAGCTGTGTTCTATTGAGAATCCAGGTGGGAGGTAGGGAAGGCAGAGGACGAGCCCCCCACCCGCACCCCCGGCCAAAAGACAAGCCTTCCCCGGGGGCATCTCTCTGGGTGACGGGAGGGTCGGGGGACCCTGTGCAGAGCTGTTGGCAGGTAAGGCTGGGAGAGAGGGGTTAGGAGGACGTGCTGAGTGGCTCTGAAATTCCTGGGGGATGCGAGCAAGTGGACGGGAGGGTGGCACACGCTTTGGGTCCCCACTGTGTGCTGGTCGTGTGCGGGACACGGAAGCTCACCTTTGTGCTGCCCTGGTGTGAGGGTTTCATTATGGGGACCTCCGGCGTCTAGGGACGGCACTTGGGCTTCCTTTGGGAAACCACCCACCCCTCCCCGGTCCCTGTGGTTTGGAGATGGGTATCAGAGCCAGGACCGGCCAACAAGAACACCGCAGCCCCCCGCCACGGCGACTGGTTTACGGATGGGTGTGGGAGCCAGGTCTGGCCAGTTAGAGTTCAGCCTCCCTCTGGCTATGGTGATTGGTTTGGGGACAGGCACATGACCCAGGTCTAGCCAATCAGAGCTCTGTATCGTCCAGCCGTTGTGGTTGGCTCAGGGATGGGCATGGGACTGGATTTGGGAATTTTTGCTGCAAATATTGGGTCAGTCTTGCTTTCCCTGGGATTGCTGAGCTGGGAAATGTTTCTCTCCAATCTATGGGATATGTTGCTTGGGAATGATATCAACACAGAAGAAAGCAGGGCCAAGATATAGAGAAGGATCCAGCTGTGCCTGAGGTCCTATGTTAGACTTTTCAGTTACCTGAACCCTCTTTTGCTTAAACTAGATTTAATTGGGTTTCTGTCACTTGCAACCAAAAACCTGGACTCACACATTATCACCACATTTTCCAGATAAGGAAACAGAAGCTCAGAGACAAGAAAGAGCTTGTCCCAGACCGAGCACGCTCTGTCTATGAAGTGAGGGAGAGACAGGGGGAGAGACTCCGGAGGCTGACCTGGCCCCTCCTGGAGCATGGATGCGCTGGGGGAGGGGAAGACACTCACTGCTTGGTGCTGGTGTTGTCTGTGATCTGCTTCACAACTTGGCAGTAACACTCGTCCCGCATGACCTCATGGTCCCTGCACAGCTGTAGGAGGGCGGGCCAGGTCACAGGTCGCACGCCCAGCACACAGGAACAGGGTGGCACTTGGAGATGGGCCTGGTGCCCCTTCCCCAGACCCCTCCCCACCAGTGGGATGCATTCCTCTTTGGGCCACATGAGAGCTTCCCTCCCCAAAGTCCTGCTACTCTGTTGATAAATGGGGAAACTGAGCCACGGGGCAGGCAAGGGAGCACCAGCAGTCAGCGGGACTGACCTTCAGGAGGGTGCAAAGCACGTCCAGTTCACTCTGACCCTTCAGCGAGGCGTCCCCCATGAACCGCATCACAGCTGGAGGAAACACCTGTCCCACTCGGGCCACCAGACCCCCAGCTGCCTGCCCCCCTTGGGGACCCTGGGGTTGGACGCCTCCCCGGGAGGCTGTGGCCAGAGGAGGAGGGGGAGGCTCCTCCTCTCTGCAGGGGCCCCACATCTGAGTTGAGGGAAGGGGTGGTGGTGAGCAGGGGTCACAGTGCGGGGTCCCACCTGGCCCAGAGCCCCGGCTGCAGTCCCACCCCCACACCTAGAAACATGTCTGTGGCCATCTTGTTGAGGCTGCTGTCGCTGAGCTCAATGAGGGAGTCCTGGAGCGGGGTCTGTGGGGAGAGGGGCTGGTAGGCAGGGTCTTGGTGGGAGGGGCTGAGTCATGGGGGCGGGGTCTGTGATGGGAGGGGCTGAGTCAGGAGGGGGCAGGGTCTGTGGGGAGAGGGGCTGGGTGACCAGGGGCCAGGGTCTTGATGGGAGGGGCTGGGTCGGGAGGGGGCGGGGTCTTGATGGGAAGGGCTGTCATGGGGGCGGGGTCTGTGATGGGAGGACTGGGTCAGGAGGGGGAGGAGGGGAGGGCCACTTGGTGCCTCCTCTTACAACAGGAGGGTCCACACCACCAAAAGGCAGCCGGGACGCCACTAGGGAAGACACTGCCCCCGGGAGGAACGCGGGCCCTCGGGGTGCTGAGTGCTTGGGTCCCACTGGGGACAAGGCTGTTTGGCCCACAGGCCTGGGAGGGGGCTCTTGTACCACCGTTTTACAGAGGGGGCCTGGGGCTAGACACCTTGGTGAAGCAAAGCATGTCCTCCAAGGTTCTGGACTCCCGACCCTCCTTGGATTTCGGCCTGAGGCCGTCCCTGCAACAGGAAGCGGACACTACTGACCAGTCTTGTTTCCAAGCTTTGGCTACACCCCCTTCCCACCTGGAGTGTGCTTGACTCAGTGTCAGCCCACCGGGCAGCAAGGCTCCCGAAGTGGAGGCTGCAGGCGGGCCTCACACCTCAGGGTTTCTCATCCCCCCCCCAGAACTGGGGCCTCCTGCTTGGGCGGCTGCAAGAAGCCCCAGAGAGACCCTCCCCAGGGTGGGGATGTGGCGTGGGGCCACCACTCACTGGGGTCTCCTCTGAGGGTCTCGGAAATACTTCTGGGCAAACTCGAGCATTGTGTACGGTGGGAGAGCCAGGCCGTCCTCCCTGCGGTCCGCGGAGCCAGCCCTGACTGGGGGACCCTGCAAGAGGGCCAGCCACCGCACCCTGCCCAGTCAGAGCGGGTCCAATGCCACCCCCGGCTGACTGTGCCCAGACCCTCTCATGTGGGCCCACTGCCTCCCCAGTGGCCTGGTCCGGCTGACCCTTACCCCTCACTGCTTCCTCTCTCTCCACCCTGGCGAGCTCTGTGCCACAGGACTGGACCTGCCCCCCTCACCTCGCCCCGCCCCGGCCCAGGTGGACTTCGCCTGCTGGCCGGCCCAGGCTGGTCCTGCCCCATTGGCCTGGTCACAACCCTTCCGCTGACCCCCACGCACCCGACCCCACTGGCCATGCCTCCAGCCATCTCTGGTCACATGGGGGGGCGGTCACATCCCAATAGGTCATACGTCTGGCTAGCTCAACCAGGCTGCCGGGCCCCAGGGTGGCCTGCTCTTGGCTGAGCCCCTCCCCTCCACCTCCACAGTCAGGCTGACCCCCTTGCTGTGTCCACCCTTCGGCCCAGCCCCGGGCAGCTCTCACCTCCCTCCTGCGGCCCACCTCCCGGGCCGCGGCAGTGGAGGCCACGGCAGCGGCCACGGCGGCAGCGCGGCCCCGGCCCGGCTCTGCAGGCAGCTGCAGAAAGTCGGGGGCAGCTGCAGGCTGCACCAGCTCGGAAGGGAAGCGGCCCACACGCCCATGGATGGTCCCAAATCGCCAACCTAGGGGGCGGGAAGGGCTCTGAGCAGCGGGAGGGTCTCATCTGGGGAGCAGGGGGCCCAGGGATACAGAGCTTGTGCGGGAGGTGTGTCACGGGGCCATTCACAGAGGAGGACACAGCTCTGGGAAGGGAAGGCACTCCCTCAGCGGGAGCTGCAGAGAGCACAGTGCAGCGCTTGTGGACCCTCGGCCACACACGTGGAAACGCTAATGTCCACGGAGACCCTTTAGCCAGATATGTGGGCAGAGGCCTGGGCTGCATGGCCGCCTTAGGAGCTGCAGCCAGGCCAGACCCTTTGGGACCCCGGAACCCAGAATCGGGCCCCCGCTGTTTGGGGTCTCTAGGTCTGGTAGCTGTGGCAGCTGAACGGGGGTCCCGGGGCACCTACCGAAGTCAGGACCTCGACGCCGCAGCTCCTCCAGGTACACGACCTTCTTGCCGACCACACAGCCAGCACTGTAGCCTGAGGGCCGGACCTATGTCAGCACCCGCTGGGAAGCGCCCTCCCCCCCCCCCCCCCCCCCCACCTTGCCCAGCCCTCCCCGTGGCACTGACCCATTCGAGGTGGCTCCAGGGGCTGCAGGTGGATGATGTCACCCTTGTGGAAGGCCAGCAGCGCTGGGTCCTCAGGCAGGAAGTTCCTCACAGCGACCACGTAGTCTGAGTCCTGGGTCAGCCAGGGGCTGGGTGAGGGCTGCAGTCCCATCCCCCTTCTCCCGGAGGTCAGGGGCCACTCCCCTGCCCCTCACACAGGACGTCAGAGCACTGGCCCAGGCCTCACCCCCTCCACCCCTCCCGAAGCCTCCCCACTGAGGCCAGGTGCCAGGCCTGGGGGCTGCCTGGTCTGGAGGGAGCATGGGGGCGGATGCTCCCACCGCAGTGGGCAGCGGCGAGCAATGCAGTCCTTGCAGGAGGATGAGCAATGCAGCTGCCATGGAGCCCAGAGGCATTAGTAGAGGACTTTGAAGGAGCGGGCAGAGGGGAACGGGCATCCCAGCTGGAAGGCACAGCTGGTGCAAGAGCCTATGGACACAGTTGCTGCCGCACACACGCATCCATGCTTCCCAGGCGTGAGCCCCGTTCTGGGCCCTCAGCCCTGCTGGGGGCATCTGTAGGAGGGCCCTGACCTTCTTCAGCTCCAGGATGAAGTCGTCCACCAGGGTCTTGACCTGGTGAGCTCGGGCTGAGAAGAGAATGACCTTCTCGCTGGCCAAGTTGAACTCCAGCATGTTCTGGGAGGGGATGGTCACAAACAGGATATCTGCAAAGCTGGAGGATGGGAAGGTGGCATGAGGGCAGGACCCCGCAGCTAGAGGGATGCCCTCCACCCACCGTCCTGCTCCTTCTGCGCCTGCCGCCTGCGCCTCCCCCCCCCCCGCAGGGGGACAGCTGCCCCTCCTGTCCGCAGCTCTATTGTGTTGCCCACACCCTGTGAACCCACAACCTTCCAGCCCTCCCCAAGTTGTGCCTTTTATTTTTTTGCCTCATGATCCAACCTCCCAGATTTTGCCCACACAAATCTATCTCTTTCAGTCCTTGAGCAAACTCTCCAGCTCCTGAAGCAAGGAGCCTGCCCCTAACCGGTGAGTGAGGCTCCCCCCGTGCTCTGGTATAAAGGACAAGTGGGCTGCTAGGAGGGAGGAGTCCGAGGACTCAGGAAGGTCTCACGCCGCCGAAGCACCCTTTCCCTTCCGAGCTGCATCTGCATCTGGCTGTTCACACGGTCGCCCCCGCTGCACGGCGAGCTCTGTGAGGGCCAGGCTGCAGCGTGGCCGGAGATGGGGATGGGGTAGTGGCTCCCAGCTCCCCACTTCTTGGCTGTGGGACCCGAGACAAGCAACACCTCTCTATGAGCCTGTTTCCCTGATTGAAGGGCTTTGGCACAGAGCCGTGCATATCGTAGGTACAGTCGCCCCTTGGTATCCGAGGGGGACTGGGTCCAGGGCCCTTCGAGGGCACCAAAGCCCACGGATGCTCAAGTCCCTCCTATAAAATGGCCTGATATTTGCATACAACCTATGCACATCCCGTATACTTTAAACCACCTCCAGACCATTTTTTTTCTTTTCAGATTACTCCTAACGCCTAATTCAACGTAAATGCTGTGTAGATAGCCACAAAAGCAAAGTAGACGTTATGTGAATAGTTGCTGGTGAGTGGCAAATCCAAGCTTTGCTTTTTTGGAACTTTCTGAAATTTTTTTTCTGAGTATTTTCCATCCGCGGTTGGTCGAATCTGTGGATGTGGAGCCTGTGGATATGGAGGGCCGACTGTGCTCAGTCAACGGCCGTGAAGCCAGCCGGCGAGGAACCGCTGGTGCCGGCCCACGTCCAGCGTCCGGCCAGCCCCGTTCCCGCCCATCTGCCAGTCACCTGTATGTGCGCAGGACCCGAAGCGGCCCACCGGCCTCGTGGCTGCCCTTGACCATGTGCAGGAGTTTGATGCCCGTGTGGGACACAGCTAGGATCTGCACGCCGGTGCCCACGCTGCCCTGGGGTGGGGACGAGTGGCACGTGAGGCTCTTCCGGCCTCATCCCTGGAGCCTCTGGGCGGGCAGGGGGCAGGCAGAGGGCTCGCACCGTGGCAGGGAAGAGGCGGGAGAAATAGACCTCCCAGCTGTCGCGTGCAATGCTGACCACGGCCCGCTTCACACTCTCCGTCACCAAGGGCCTTTGCGTGTCCAGCTGGTTCTGGGCTAAGGGACACAGGTCGGGTCGGGACTGACCCACGTGGCATGGGGGGAGGCTGACCCTCAGCAAGGAGGTGTCAGTCTGTTGTGTTCCCAGTGTCCATACTGGGAAACTGATGTCCACAGACAGACAGGGACAGCCGAGGCCACAGCCGGTCAGGCAGAGCCCAACCCAGACCTGCGGCCGGGCCGTGGGAGAGGCCAAGAGCAGAGCGGGGAGGGTTGGCGGGGGTGGGGTGTCTAGCTGGCTGCCCCATCGACATCCTTCCCTGCCCCTGGCCCCCACGGTACCAAATAGGGCTTTCATCCGGAGCCTCTCGTCCGCAGAGATGCGCAGGCAGGCCTCGGAGAACGTGTCGTGCAGGATCTGTGGGGTGAGTGTGGCACCGGCGGCCCGTGGGACTCCCCCAACCGGGAGCCCACGCTGGACCGTTTTAGGACGACTGGGAATGTAGCAGGGGTGCCTTTATGCAACAGTGGGGTCATCTGTGTAAATCAGATCCCACTCCCGAGGATGCTCTCCCTTCTCCTCACCTCCACCCTCCCCAAGCCCTAGTTTCCTCATCTGTATGGTGGGGCTTGGGTTGGACCCCAGGCCCCGTGCAGCTCAGACCTGCTGTGAGTCTGGTTAGGTGGGACTGTGGGCTCTTCGACCCTGTCTACAGTGGGGGCCTCGGCAGAACAGCTTCCCCTCCTCACTGTGGTCGAGGACCCCAAATCCAAGGAGGAGGATTTGCAGACGGCTAGGCTACGCACCCCCTGCCCTGCTGAGTACGCAGGGCATTTAGGGAGGAGAGGCCCTCACCTGGCGGAACAGCAGGTCCAGCTGCACAGGGTGGCTGTAGCTGTCCTTGGGGTAGAACACCTGTGGGGGCAGGGTTTCCGTGAGGACCTTCTGGAGGCCCCTCCCCCGCTGCAGCCCCACTCGCTCTGCACCAGCCACGCTCTGACCCTGACCCTGGCTCAGCTCCGCCCTGACCCGGTCTCCCGCCCGCCTCAGGCCCCTCTGCCCCCATCCAGCCCCAGCCGGGCTCCAACACCTCTTTGCGCAGGAAGATCTGCCAGGGGGCATCCTGGTAGCCGTAGAAATCGGGGCTGAGGAGGCGGTGCAGCCGCGTCTGCACGGGGTCCTCGGCCGGCTCCAGAGACCGTGAGGCCAGCACTGCAGGGGTGGGAGCGGGCTGGGGCAGAGAGGCCTCCTGGCCTGTGGCGTACACACACCTGATCACGCGGGCACACGTGCACACTCACACAGCCCAGCCCTCCTCCCCGCACATGGAGACCCGGCGCCCGCAGGCCCAGCCAGGGGCCAGGGGCCTGGGAGCAGGAGAGACAGGCCACTGCCTGGAGGCCAGGCCCCAGCAGGTGTGGGCAGAACAGACAGTTCAGAAGGACAGAGCTCTCAGAGCCAGGAGCTGGGGTGGAAATAAAACCAGTGACTTAGGAAAGTCTGGGGGCTGGTCTGTGAGGGGCGTTCGGTCTGGGCAGTCGGGCAGACCTCTCTGAGGAGGTGACACTTGAGACCTGAATGTTGAGGAGGTGCTGAGCATGCAAAGATCTTCCGGGAAGAGCATTCTAGGCAGAGGGAACGCAAGGACAAAGGCCCTGAGGCAGGAGTGAGCTCGGTGTGTGCCAGAAACAGTGAGGAACAGAGTGTCTGAGGGGGGAGCGGGAGGAGATGGGATTGGGAAGGTGGGCAGGTCATGCTGCGTCACGTGGGCCACAGTGAGGAGTCTGGAGTTTATCCCAGGAGCCACTGGAGCGTTGTTGGCAGGCGTGACGTGAACCGACTGATCTCTGTTAAGAGGGTTGTGGCTGCCGTGAGGCAGGAGATGCAGAGGTTAGGGCTCCAGCTGTGACGCCAGGAGGCCTGGGTTTCTATCCCTGATCTGATACTGTTGAGCTGTGTGATCGTGGGCAAGTCACTTAACCTCTCTGTGCCTGTCTCCCCACCTGTAACATCTAGAGGCACAAATGGTACTGTGTTGAAGGGTCTTAGTGAGGATTTAGTGAAGTCAGAGTGGGCTGGGACTGAAATCAGTGTTAAGTGTTAATGCAATTACACAAACGTCCACGCTGTGGGTCCACACGGGCCCAGGGACACGGACACACGTGCCACCGTCACGCAGACCAAGTCTCACCTGTGTTCACACTTGGACACCTGCCCTCGGGCCCCTCCCTCCCTCCCTCCTGGCCCTCACCTGGAGTGGGCCCCACGGATGGCCTTGGTGTGCTGGTCACTGGCTTCACCAGGGCTACGGCCTCTCTGGGGACCTGTCCCTGCCCCAAAGACAGCGCTCAGGGGGGAGCAGCAAGACCACAGCTTACAGGGGCCAGCTGGTTTCTGAGGCTCCCCCAGAGGCCCCACTTTGTCCTTTGTTCCACCTGGGCCCAGCCAGACCCTGCCCCTCACCTGGGTGCCAGGTGCTGCCGCTGCATGGCTCATCTGCCCCCTCAGGATCATCAGGGCCTCCTCGTGGGGGTCCGGCCGCTTCACGAACACCCTCCCGCCGTCCTTCCTGGTGGGTGGGACACTGAGTCTCCTCTTCCCAGCCACATAACTCTACAATAGGGAATTTTTTCCTCCACCCCCATCACTATAAACGAGAACCCAGAGAGGACCAGAGACGGGTGTGGGGACACACAGCACACCCTAGAGAGCGGTCCTGGCCTCCCTCTGCCCGGGTGGCTCATCTGGAGCACCTGTGTGAACAGACTCACTCCCTAGAAGTTGCTGGGTGGGGGGGCTGCGAACCCAGCAGATGGGCACACGGGTGGTGGCTGCGCAGGCCCGTGGGGAGGCCGCCATCCGGATGGCTGGAGGGCTGGGGAGGCCAGACTGACCTGAAGGCTTCGGGCCGGCCTCCCCGGGGCGGCTGCTGGTGTTGCCTGACGATGTCCTTGATCTGCTGCGTGGGCTGCGGGAAGTGCTCCGAGTTGAGGGTCGAGGACCGGACCAGCTCTAGGCTGGGCGAAGCTGCGGCAGGGGCATGGGGGCACAGGTGAGAGTGCCCTCCCAGCCCCGCCCTGGGAAGTGGGAGGCCCCCCGGCCGGGAGAGGACACTCACTGGATTCTGGAGGTGCCCGGTCCTGAGCTAGAATGGGGACGGCCACGGGCTTGGTGGGGGGCCTCGGGGCCTTGACCAGAGGAGCTGGAGCCACAGGCTTTGGAGCGCAGCGCAAGAGCACAGGCTTGGCCGGGAGTCCGGTGCCTACGAACTTCGGCAGGGCCTCTGGCGCTATGGGTTTCTGTGGAGAGCAGGGTGTGGGGTGGACTTCCCGGGACACATCAGTCTGCTCTCAGGGACCCCACGTCTGCCCAAGAGGGGTTGAGGGGGCTCCTGGCTCAGAGAGGCGCAGCGATGCCCCAGGGCACCACAGCACTCACCTGGGGAACCAGACTCACCTCTGGGGGCGATGGCCTTGGGCTGGGACTCAGGGGCTGCTGCTGGAGCGCCATGGCCTGCAGGGTCATCTCCCGGGCCTGGGGAGAGTAGCGGTGGTGAGTGGGCAGGCCCAGGCTCCGCCCCCCCCGCAGCCTCCAAGCCCGGCACTCACCAGCAGCACTGCCTGCTTGCGGATGAAGGCTTGCTGCAGGGCCAACGTGGAGGCGTCCAGGCCTGGAACTGCGGGGGGGCCGTGTCAGGGGACGTGGATCCAGAGGCTTGGGAGATGGGGGGGATTCCCTACCGTGCCTGCCCCTCCTCCGCCGGCTCAACCTCTCCCCACGGCCGAAGCTGCCTCTGTTCTAGGGCCAAAGCAGCCCTGAGAACCGAGGGGCTCCACCCTGCCCGACCCTGGAACCGACCGGGGGCAGCCACTGACTTAGCTTTGGCCTTGGCTCTGGAGGTCTCCGGGGGCCGCCTTTGCTGCCGCTACTGCCATCTCCACCAGGCTGGCCTCCCCCTTTCATGCGGTAGGCAATGGCTGTTGGCTTCTCCAGGTCCTGGGAGCGGGGGCACGTGGCTCAAGTGACTGCCCCAGTGCCGTACTCCCCAGCTTCCAAGGCAACAGGCACCTGACACCGCCACCGCCTGTGTCCCGGGGGCCTCCCACCGGCCAGCATCTGCTGTGTGCCCGGCCTCTGCCCACACGGCACCCCGGTCAGGCCTCCGGCAACCTTGCGAGCCCCAACCCATCCCTTTCACAGGGGAGCAAACAGGCTCAAAGGGGCTGCGCCCTGCTCAGGGCTTCACGCTATGCCTTGGAGGGGCTCCTGGGAGTTCCCAGAGTGAGCAAGGGTGCCCGGGGGCCCGCTCCCAGAGTGTCGTGGACCCCCAGCTGTGGGTCCTTCCGAGCACCTCTAGCTGTAAGGACACCCTCATCGTTTGCTTGACCCCCAGCAGAGACCCAGAGAGGACACGCCACCCCACGACCCTGGCTGAGAGAGGCTCCTGTGTACACACGCCGTGCCGTGGTCTGCAAATGCCCTGCTGCATCCCTACCGCATCCCCGTAGGACAGCACGGGGTCGAAGAGGCTATCCAGGTAGCAGTCCAGTCCTTTGTGGGCCACAGCGGGCTCCCCAAGGCTGTCCGAGTCTGGCGGGGCTGGGGGACACAAAAGTCAAGTCCTTTTCTCCTGCTGATGACCACTCCCGGCTCCCAGGCTCCCCCCCCACCAGAGACAGCGGCCACTGCTGGTCGACCTTGGTGGGTCGCTGTCCCTCTCTGGGCCTCAATCTCCCCATTTGTACCGTCCTCATTGTGGCTGCAGTACCCATCGGAGTTGGCCACGACGGGCATGTGCCCCAGGGGCTGGGGCCTAGCGGGCGCGTCCTCGTCCGAGTCCCAGCTGTTGCCAAACACCCTGTGGGGATGGAGAACACAGAGCAGCTGACCCCCCAGAGACCCAGAGCCCTACCAGAACCCCCGTTCTCTCCTGTGCCCCGGAACTGGCTGACTCTCTCCCTTTAAAGGCAGGGCCCTTTGGCGAGCCCCACCTCAGTGAGGACCTTGAAGCTTAAGTTCAGAACGCAGTCCCCCACCGCCAGCATCCAGGAGGGGGAGCCTTGTGCTAGGAGAGGCCATCTCTACCTGGGACCTCCCCTGCCAGCCGTGGGCCCCTCTGCACCCACGATGAAGTAGGCTTTCTGTCGCGGGAACTCCCTGAGTAGCTCGAGGTCCGACACCAGGTCCAACACGTAGTCGTGGCCGGCCAGCTCTGCCCACTGGACCCCCTTCTTCCTAGCCACCGTCCAGCCCCGCCAGCCGTCGGTCAGCCCCCTGGAGACAGCACGTGAAGGGCTGGGAGTAAGGGACAGAGCCGAGAGGTACCACTGGGGGAGACCCTGGGATGGGAGCCAGACACCACTCATGGCCGGAGTGGACCCTCCGGGGCTGGGGGCCTGGCCTCTCGTCCCTCCCTTCCTCCTTCCGAAGTGCACAGGGGTGCACTGGGTGGGGCATTCCAGGAGCCCACCTGTGCCTCAGAATGTCTCCAGCCACCTCTTCCCCCGTACTCCAGGAGTGCACCGGGCAGGAGAACTGGTCACCTGGACGGCAGCGGGTGCAGGGCTCAGCCTGGAGCGTCTGAATTTGCATCTCACGGCCCTGGCTCCCCTCCCCGTTTCCAGGTCCAGCCGCCATGTGCCCACACACACTGACCTCTCTCCAGGGCTACATCCCGCAGGCCCCTCCCCAGCGCCTCCTAAGCCCAGGCTACTGGCGCCTGCTGACTCCGGCTGCCCCTCCGTGGGGCAGGGAGAGGGCAGCTCACCGTTGAAGCAGCCCACGTCCAGCGCCATTCCGGCCTTCTCCTGGGTTGCTTTCCACTCGAGCTGGGTCAGAGGGAAGGTGCGGGCAGCGCCAGAGCCCTGCTGTTGAGCCTGGCCCATGGCCTGCATGAGGCGATGTTGACACACAGCCTGGAAGCCATTCCGCCCATAGTCAGACACAAACCTGATGGGTAGGAGTTGGCGCGAGGGTGAGGAGGGACCTGAGGCTGGCCGGCAGTGGGGGAAGGCCCCGAGGCTAGTCAGGGGGCCCAGGCCGGCCCAGAGCTCTGAGAGTGGTCTACAAATGATCTCAGGCAGCCCGGAGTTCCTGGGCCAAGCGGAAAGCGTCCAGGCCAGAGGTCCAAGGACGGCCAAAGCGGTTCCAGGTTGACCCACCTAAGCTTGTTGGAGCAAAATGTCACTGCCAGGGTAGGGGCTGCAGGGGGTGTGGGCAAAGACCTGGCCTCTGGGCACTCCCTCTGTTCCCTCACCAGGCCACCCCAGGCGGTCATCGGCCCTCTCTGAGCCTGCTTCCAAGTTCACAGAGACGGCCGTGAGGGTTCAACCTGACCCAGGACCAACCAGCCTGATCCCTGGCAGTGGCGGGCACTCCTTGTGCCGGGCTCCCTGCCCCCTCCCCACCGCTGGCAGCCTGGCCAGGAGCACCAGAGGAGCAGGCAGACAGCGGCTGCCAGAGGGAAGCTAGAGCCGTGCCCACGGCAAGCCCAGCAGGCAGGTAGTGGCCCTGCCCCCGGCACAGATTCCCAGGGCCGGCCAAGGGAGCTGCCCCTACTGCACACGGCTCCGGGGAGCTCTGCCCGCTCTGTAGTTCACAGTTACCCTGTGAGGTGGGTCCTGTTACCATCCCCAATTTCCAGATAAGGAAAGAGGCTCAGAGACGGGCAGTGACTTGGCCCCGGTCACACAGCAACTAAGTGTCAGAACTACGATGCTGCCCAGGGCCTGCTTGAGCTCCTTCCCTTGCGAATCATTCATATCACCCAGCACAGTGACATCAACATCACCATCATCTTATCAAGACCAGGATGCTGACAACGGCTACACGCACACAGCAGGCTACACGCACACAGCAGGCTACACGCACACAGCAGGCTACACTTACCGTGAGTCTGTCTCCGTTCTAAGCACTTCACATGTGTTTGCACATTTAATCCTCACACAGCCTACTACGTAGGTACTCTTATCAGCCCCGTTTTATAGGAGAGGAAACAGGCTCAGAGAGATTAAGTAACTTGCCCAAGGTCACACAGGTCATATGCGGCTGAGCTGGGATTTGAACACAGACCGTCGGAGTCTACACTCCTAACCATACCGCTACACCCTGCCCCCCAGGATGTGAGAGGTCAGCGCCTCTATTCCAAATTCCCCGCACACTGGGCTGGCTACCTCCGAGTTCCAGAAGCCCTGTATCCCCCCTCACCCGACTCCTGCCCTCTGCAGTGAAGCCCCGGGCCAGCCCCCAAGCCTGAGCTTCCAAGGACCGAGCCTCCCTCCTGGCCCAGCCTGACCTGGCGTCCGCCCCGGGCCCCCCAGCTCCACTCACTTGAGCAGGTACTTGTCGAGGCGCGGGGAAGGCGCAAAGCCGCTGAGGCAGGCGGCCAGCAGGAGCCAGCCCCGCTCAGCGTTGTGGGCACTGGGGTTCCGCCACACCTGGTTGGCCAGCTGCGCTAGGATCTCATCCCGCAGCTCGGGCACCGCCAGCCCTTTCTGCACGATGTAGTTCCCGAAGACGTGGTCCCGGGCTCCGTGCAGCTGGGGGTCGCCCATGAAACGCAGGATCTGGCCACAAACAGACTCTCCTGGGCTTCCCGGAGGGCTGTTCCCGCCAGGTCCCCACCCCCACCCCACATCCCTCTCGTGTCCTTCCCATGTCCCCCTGCCCATATGAAAGTCCCCCATGTTACAGTGTAATAGCCATACCCTGGGGCAGGTGACCCAGCCTTTGGGAAAAATCAAGATTCTCCTGCTCACGAACCTTCTATAGCCCCAGCCCCTCCCCGCACCCCCGGCCTCCAGGAGGCCCCTCACCTCCTGCACATTCCACGCCCCAGAAGGTACTTTCTAACATGCATATCCGACCACATCCCTCCCAGGCTCATGGCTTGGGCTAGTAGAGTGTCCAGGAGGGCAGGGCGAGGGGCCTCGCCGTCTGGCCTCGGGGGCAGGGGCTATGAATTCGAAGGTGGTCTAGGCAGACCCGTACCAGCTTGAAGATGCCCACGGCCTCTGCATGATGCTCCGCCGGCAGCCGTGTGAGGGGCGTCCTCAGGGGCGCTGCCAGCATCCCGAAGGCAGGTTCCTGGGGGCACAGGGCAGGCACGTGGGCACAGAGCTGGGACAGACGGATGCGTCTGGGGCACACCAGCCTGGGAAACACAGGTCCCCAGTGTGCAGATGGGTAACCAGCTTGCAGAGGGGCAGACACCAGCATCTCGGTGACAGAGCCCCCACGAGGCCCCCTCGGAGGGCAGGAAATGAGGAGCAGGGATGATGTGCTATGGATCCACCGCTCATTACATTTCTGAAATGTTTCCAAACAGCCACCTCCCGAGCCCCCGAGGGCCCTCCACTGCTATCCAGGGCCCCTGGAGACCCCGGACTCCTCACGACACAGACCCAGCAACTGAAGGGCTCATACCTGATCCCACAGCGGGTGGCCAGGCGCCAGCCCCAGGCTGAGGACAGTGCCAGTTCTAACTGGGCCTCTGCCAGCCCTTACCTTGAAGTGGCACCGGACAAACTTGGCCATGGGGTAGTTGTTGATATCCAGGGGCAGCGTGACCCGGGGCTCAGCCTGAAGCCGGGGAGTCCGCACGGGAGCCACCCGGGGCATCTGGCCCGTCCTGAGGCCTGTGGACAGAGGAGGCCATGAGGGGCCTGGTCCCCTCGCGCACCCGCTCCCACCACACCGCCTGGCGCCGATGTACCTGACACTGCTCGCAAGAGCCCAGCCAGCTCCCCCGGGACCTCCAGGTGCCCCACAGCCACCACCTGTCGCTTGCTCAGCTCCTGGCGGTGTGGCACAGGGTGAGGAAACAGGCCTGCTGCTCCCCCACCTGCTGGCCTCCCTTCCTGTCCCCTGCGGCCACCCGGACCCCGCACCCACCTCCTGCCCCCGTAGCCGCACCTCCACCACCCAGAGCCTCCGCTCCGCCCTCGGCTGCAGGACAGCAGACGGTCAGGGTGGGCAGCGGCGGGCAGAGGCGACGGCCCCAGGCCCACCTCACAGACGGGGGGCAGAGGCGCGGCCAGAGAAACGGGGTGTGGGAAAAGACAGCGAGAGAGACACAGGCAGAAGGCACAGGGTGACACTTTGGGAAGGAGAGACGCACAGGATCTCTGGGAAGTACCGGAGAGACGTGTGACAGGGCCCCTCCCTGGCGCCCACAGAACCTCCAGTAAAGGCGCAGCTCCTCGGGGCTTTGGGGTTATGTCTGTCTGTCTGGCGATGCGTTATACAACAATAAGCCGAGACTGGCACGGAGGCAAGAGCACCACCAGAGCCGGTGCTGTTCAGGTTGCCAAATTCTAATCAGGCCTGGTTACTGGGGCCCCTGCCGTGAGCCCCGCACTAGCCACACCCTTCCCATGCAGCCTCTCATTCAACTCCCTGCACATCCCCAAGGGGTGGGTGGGGAGATTGCGGCTACAGAGGGCCCAGCGGGGATTCGAACCCAAGCCCGCCCCGGCCAACAGTCTCCTCCTGGGGCCAAGTGCTTCCTCCCCGTTCCTGCTGCCCCCTCCACCCCCGGAGCCCGACGGGGCAGGCCCGGCTCCTGGGAGGAGGGCGAGGGGCAGGCCTGCAGCACCTTGAGGTGACGCTGGTGGCTTGTGCACATGTGCACCAGGGCCCGGAACTTCACCAGACGCCTTCTCATCTGCTGATGCCGCTGCCTGGGGGTGGGGAGGAAAGAAGGGTCGGGGCAGGGGTCATGAGAGACCAAGGGGCAGAGACAGCCACACCCGCCTTGCTTGGGTATCAGTGCCCACACTTCACTCCGGGGCCCTCTGCACAAAGGGAAACAATCTCGGAGAGGGGCAGTGACCTGGCCAAGGTCACACGACAACGTGAGTGGCAGGACCTGGATTAAACCGTCTGGACCATGTACCTCCAATCAGGTTGTAGTCCCAGGGTATGGGACATGCCGGGGAGAGGGGGGCCCTCTTGGCTGCAGGAATTCCCACCCACCAGTCACAAGGACCAGGGGGTGGGAGGGAAGGACATCCAAAAGCAGAGACACAGAGAGTCTGATCACCCTTCCTGCAGAGGCCCTACTCTCAGCTTGCATGCCTCCAGGAACAGGGAGCTCACTACCCAAGTTCAGGCTCGGCCTTCCCAGAGCCTAGCCGTTGGACTCCAGGGAGTCCTGCCCTCTCTGGGCCACACCTGGCCAGGTAGCCACGGGCCCGGCTCTGCAGCAAGATGATCTTGCGGCGCAGGGAGCGGAAACGCCGCTGAATGAAGAAGCCGCGGAGGCAGCGCTGCAGCGTGACGGCTGCCCGGTTCAGGACGTGCTCCCGCATGCCCTCCAGCAGCTGGTGCAGGTGCTCCTTCAGGAACAGCTGAGGGCAGGAGGCAAGGACTGAGGCAGGGGAAGGCCATGTGACTGCCTGGAGGCCCCTCCCTCTCCAGAAGTCCATGGAGGCAGACAGACAAGGCAGCCCTGGAGTAGGGTGGAGGATGTGCTGGGTCTGGAGAGGCGGGGGAAGGCGGGATGGTGAATTAGGCAGTGGGAACAGCCGGGAAAAGTCCGGAGGTAGGATAAGCATCCATTTACCAGCTCGACTGGATGGCCTCTGGGACAGTAGCCTGCAGCCTGAGTGTTTCTGAGCCCACAGGCTCCAGCCGTGGGGCACCCAGGGGCTGAGTGCCGGTAGGACTTACCTTGCTGACGCCGACGCGGTACATGTTTGGCGTGACCGTGCACAGGCGGCTCAGCATGGACACACACATGTCCCCACTGGCTGGCAGGTTGTGCTGGAGGGACACTAGACAGCGGTACCTGCAGGGCCCAAACCCAGCGTGGGTCTATGGGACCCACCCGGTCGGCCCCCGTCTCCCGGAAGCCCGAGTCCCAGCAGTGCCTCTACTCATAGTGTCCTCTAACCAGAAAAAGGCTTTCTGTTCTCAAGACTCTGCTGAGGTGGCACAGTGGTTAAGAATCCACCTGCCAATACAGGGGATATGGGTTCGATCCCTGGTCCGGGAAGATCCCACATGCCGCGGAGCAACTAAGTCCACGCGCCACAACTACTGAAGCCCGCGCGCCTAAAGCCCGTGCTCCACACCACAATGACAAGTCCGTGCTCTGCAACGAAGGGTAGCCCCGCTCGCCGTAACTAGAGAAAGCCCGCACGCAGCAATGAAGACCCAACACAGCCAAAAATAAATAAACAAGTAAATAAAATTAAATAGAATAAAAGAGGCCTTAAAAGTAAGCTCAGGGCTTCCCTGGTGGCGCAGTGGTTGAGAGTCCGCCTGCCGATGCAGGGGACACGGGTTCGTGCCCCGGTCTGGGAAGATCCCACATGCCGCGGAGCGGCTGGGCCCGTGAACCATGGCCGTTGAGCCTGCGCATCCGGAGCCTGTGCTCCGCAGCGGGAAAGGCCACAACAGTGAGAGGCCCGCGTACCGCAAAAAAAAAAAAAAAAAAAAAAAGTAAACTCAAAGAACAAGAAAATTAAAAAAAAAAAATACTGAGCAACCCGAAAACTGTAATAAATTGTTTCAGTAGAATAAGGTGATTTACCGCCATCTGCTGGAAACTTGTTAAAATAACTATTAAAATTACTGCTCTTTAGAATCCACACACACAGAATAAAACTATGAAAAAATACAAAACAGTAAATACACGTTCCATATAACAGCTGGCACGTGCTGGTCTCGTGTACCGCACAGTCTGAGCAACACTGCGTGGCAAGCCCTATTCATCCTGGGTTGCGTAATCCTAGGGCCACGGTGGGCTGGGAAGGGGTCTCTGGAGCTCAGAACCACCCTGACCGAGGTACCTGTCGATGAATGCCTGGAAGGGCAGCCGCACCGGAAAGCCCTCCTTGCGGATCCGCACAGTCTCCAGCACCCCCGAATACCGTAGCTGGGCCATCACCACATCTGGCTCAAAGAGGCCTGGCTCCTGGGGGAAGGCTCAGATAGGGAGCCTGCACATCGGCCCAACAGATGGAGGGCCAGAGAGGCAAAGCCACTCACCCAAGGTCACACAGCATGGGGAGAGGAGTTGGCTCCCCCAGGGACCTCAACCATCACATACCTTCTTGTGGTTGGGCTTCAGGCACCTGACGAACAAGGGGTTACACCTGGGCAGGGGCGGGAGGAGGGCAGTGTGAGGCCCCAGAGAAGGGGGGTGCTTACCCCTGAGGGTCACAGGTGAGGCTGGGTGCCGCGCCCCTGCCACGCCCACCTCTCCATCTTTTCCACCAGATCCAGGAGCGACTGCTGGAACTTAGCGGCCACCGTGTGCGCCTTGTAGAGTCGGGTGACGGAGCTGCTCTTTCCCAGGCGCTGAGGGGCAGCCTGTGGGGCATGGCTGGAGAAGAGGTGTGCCACCACCTGGGCCAGTCAGCAGTCAAGGCGCGGGAGACAGGAGACAGGGATGGGGAGGGACCCAGAGGCAGAAACGAGAGAAAGAGAGAGAGTGCCTAGTGGCCA